TGTCGTGACTACCCCGCCTGCAGGATGCTGGGTCTGTTCCTGGCAAGGGAGGCGACTCTGCTCTGTCACTACTCCAATTAGGGTGGTATTTGTACCCCGCCGGCAGGCTCCTGGGCCTGATCCGCAGGTCTGTTGTAGGTCTGCCTACCTTGAAGGCGCGGGCGGCGGATCTGCCCTGCCCCTCCTACCACGCCTGCGGACCCCTGGGCCTGATCTGCAGGTTGATCACTGGTCTGCTCACCCTGCGGGCACGGGTGGCGGTTCCGCTCCACCCCCACTCCAATTGGGGTCACGTGACCACCACACCGGCAGGGCCTGATCCGGGCGTGGGATAAGGATCTGCTCTGCCCCTACTCGAGTTGGGGTGACATGTGTACCACACTGGCAGGCCACTGGGCCTGACCCGCCAGGCTGTCACAGGTCTGTTTACCTTGCAAGCGCGAAGGGCGGCTCTGCCCTGCCCCTCCTACCACGCCCATGTACTACTGGGTCGTGGGTCTGCCCACCTGGCGGGTGTGGGTGGCGGCTCCGCTCCGCCCCCTCTCCAATTGGGGTCACGCAGTCACCTCGCTGGCGAGCCGCTGGGCCTGCTCCGGGGGCTGGCGGCGGCCCGGCTCCTTCCCTCTGGCTCGAGGACAAATTGAGGAGACTCGGGTGACTGAGCCTCACCCCCCTTACCAGGAGACCAACTGCTTATGTCACCGCTGGTATTGATGAAGATCTCTCCTCCACCGCTTTCTGCTGACATCAGATCTCTGCCATGTTGGTATCCTATGCGAATGGCAGCATTTCGTTCCCCTTGCCAGGCAACCCAAGCAATGGGTGAGTCCTGACCTGCCCTCAGCAGGACCCGGACCGAGACACAGTTTCCGCGGGCTCCCAGCCCCGGTCCAGGGAAGTTCCGGGAGCCGGAACTCGGCCGCTCCGTGCTCGGTGTAAGCTCCTATAAGTGTAGGCTCCAAGAAGCAGCCCCCGCGGGCTCAGTTCCGGGAGCCGGAATTCGGCCGCCTAGTGTTTGGTGTATGCTCTGATAGTAGCAGGGTCCAAGAAGCAGCCTCCGCGGGCTCCGCAGCCCTGAGCCAGGGCGGTTCCGGGACGGTTCCGGGAGCCGGAACTCGGCCGCTCTGTGCTCGGTGTAAGCTCCTACAAGTGTAAGCTCCAAGAAGCAGTCCCCGCGGGCTCAGTTCCGGGAGCCGGAACTCGGCCTCTTGGTGTTTCGTGTTTGCTCTGATATTAGCAGGGTCCAAGAAGCAGCCTCCGCAGGCTCCGCAGCCCGGAGCCAGGGCGGTTCCGGGACGGCTCCGGGAGCCGGGACTCGGCCGCCCCGCGCTCCGTGTTCACTCCGATAAGATCAGATTTTAAGAAGCCCCCAGGCGCTGAACCCTAGCAATCTGTCTGCAAGCCGCAGGCGAATTGCAGCCTGAAATTACCTGTTCTATGGCTGAATGAGCTGCGGTCAGTCAAAAACAGGTGTGGTGACGTCAGTTTACCAACATGGTGGCTGCTGGCCTCCTCTGTGGTCTGACCGGTGTGGAGAACCGAGATGGACCGCTTCCTTCCCCGTCTCGAACCCAGAATTCAGCCCTGAGTGCGGTGCTTGCGCGTCTGGCAGAAACTCGCCAATCGATTTTTAACTTTGCTTATTCATATATGGTGCTGAGGATCAAACCCAGGGCCTCACATATGCTAGGCAAGCGCTCTACCACTGAGCCACAACCCCAGCCCCAGATATTCACATTTAAATTAAGTAACTTGAGTAAAATGGAAAATACTGTCAGATCTTGCTTGGTTATGGCATTCATTTCACACTTGTTTTTTCTTATCATTTATATTTTCCTTATTAGTAAGGTAAATTCTTCATGTCAGTTAGTGCTGTTACTAAGGGTTTTAAAATTTAAATTAGTTTTTAGGTGATAGGTCTTTTTTACTTTTTCCCTCAAACTATTCTTCAGTAGTGCCCAACTTGGTTAATCCTATAAATTTCTTTTAAAACGGTTTCTACATTAAGTAAATAAGCTTTATCTTCCTAGTTAAATAAAAAAAAAATAACTAGTCTGGAGTTACACAATAAGTTCAGTTACTACACTAAACCTTGGGCAAGCATACTTAACCTCTCTAAACTGTAGATTCTCCATATTTAATATGAGGATAATAATACCCACATTATTCTCTTGCTCTGAGAATTAAATGAAAAAATATATAAAATATTATCTGGTTGCTTTGCTCATTGTCAGTAATGAATATATCTAGTGTATAGCTTAATAAATGACTTTATTTAGGTATACAGTGAAATCTAACAGATAACTGAAAAGAGGGAAGAGCAAAATTTAATAGGAGACATCTTTATCTGAGTAATATGCTAGAATCCTGTGATGGACTTATCAATTCTTGGTCTAAGATTCTTCAGATCATTTGGTTCACGTAAAAAAGCATATTTAGATTTAGTTTGTTTAAGATCTGATTTATTTTTACCTGTAAGTTCCCACTAGAAGCTTGATGAACTTAATCCCAGCCACTCAGAAGGCTGAGGCAGGAGAATCACAAGTTCAAAGCCAGCCTGAGCAACTTAGCAGTACCATGTCTCAAAAAATAAAAAGGGCTGGGTATGTAGCTAAGTGGTAAAGTGTCCTTGGGTTCAATCCAAAATAACAACAACAAGATTAAATAAAAGGCATTTATTATATCTCCTTAGAATCTACCCAGTGAAGTTAATCAGAACCCAGGTCAGCTTGAGCATTATTCTGTGCTTCTTTGTATGTACTCTCAGGAAAACCAACCTCTAGCAACGCTCTAAAATAAGTGACATTTCCTACATTTTAAATCTTTGGTTTGTAAAATGATTTTTATGAAATAGTAATTTTATTATCTATGTAAGATTTACAGTACTGTGAATTTTGTGTATTTAATATTATTTTTTTTCTTGCAAAAAGCCATTTCCAGACTGAATGCTAAATTTGAAACTTCTTTCCCTCCCTGTATCTGAAACATGTAGTGGAATAATAAGTGAATAAAATTATTTGTTTTTATAAACTCCCTTTGTCTACCAGATTTGCAGGATCATGGTGTGTTCTTTTGAGGTAATTTGGTGGTTTAGGTGAGAGTTTGAGAGTACTGACATGTATTCAAGAGAATAAAAAGATGCTCCCAAGAACTCAACATTCTTTTACTTTATTATTTGATGGGCTGAGTTATCCATGGTGTCAACTGTTCTCCATTCTTGTTAACTAAATTCCATAGTGGATTGATTAAAAAGAGTGATCATTGTACAGCAAATAGCATTCTCTCATAGTTTATACAAAGTGATCATTAGGTAGAAAAAAATATTTCAGTACAAAATTTCATTATAATCATATATACATAATTGCATTATAACCAGATCAACAAACAATCGTGTTTACTGTACTACCTCTAAGGGGCAGAATGTATTGATTCCTCGTGGAGAGAGTTTAGATTTATACAATATTTACAAGGCAAGTGGAGTTGGTATTTACCCTGCTGCTCATGAAGAATATTTATGTTTTGATCCTGTTGTAGATTTACTAGTATCAAACCAAATCTTAGTCTAAAATGCTTAGTTTTTGATCCCCTAAATCAGGTGTTGAATAATGCCTCCCACTTCAGACATAGTTCAGGGACTGTCATGTTTATAATACATATTTCGTAATGTATTTGTTAACTTTTTTGAACATAGTAACATTTTTGTTCATGTCTTTATTTTCAGAAAACAAATATACACTCTCAGAAATTAGGGAAAATTAGTACATATTATTTTTATGTTCCGTTTACTCATCTTTCTCTAATGTTGGCATCTTATATAACCATAGTAGTATATCACAAGTAGAAAATTAACATTGGTACATTACTTCAGACTTCATTCATTTTTCACCATTTTTACATGAATGTGTGTGTGTGGTATCTATGCAGTTTTAGTTCATATATAGGATATTGTAAACACCACCATGGTGAATATGCAGAACTGTTCCATCACCATATATATGCTATTCTTGTTCTGTTCACACACATATACCACATTTGGCAACTATTAATCTGTTCTTCATCCCTAAAGTTTTATTAACTTGAGACAGTTATACCAATTATTCCAGTTATTTCATTTATACCTTATATATGGCAATTTCAATGATTTTTTAAAAAAAATTTAGTTGTAAATGAACACAATAACATTATTTATTTTTATGTGGTGCTGAGAATGGAGCCCAGTGCCTCACATGTGCTAGGCAAGCACTGTACTGCTGAGCCACAACCCTAGCCCATGATGGCTTTTTTCACTCAGAATCATTTTCTGGAAAATCATTCAGGTTGTAGAATGTATTATAGTTTGCACCATTTTATTGTTGAGTAGCATTATGCAGAAAGGGTATGCCAGATTGGTTTAATCAGTCCTTTACCTGATAAATGATGATTGGATTATTTCCAGTTTTTTGTTACTATCAGTAATAGCTACTATAAGTTGTTAATTTTTATGTACAATTATTGAACAAGCCTGTGTTTTTAAAAGTTTTCTGGGGAAAAATGCCCTAGAATGCAGTTGTTGGTGTGTATGGTAAGTGCATGTTTACTTTTGTATGAAACTATCCAACTATTTTCCAGAGTTGCTGTTACCATTTTACATTTCTACCAATAACATATGAGACATTGAGTTTCTCTACATCTTCACCAGCCTTTAGTTTTATCACTGTTTTTTATCTGTTTCATTGGAATATAATGGTGTGCCATTATGACTTTTATGTTTTATTTAAAAATAAGGTATTTTATTTTTTAGATATTTATTTAGATTTTACTAACTTTTTTTTACCTACTTCTACTCCAATTCCTAGTTAGTGATATTTTTATTATAATTAAATTGTCAGTGATTTTTAAAAAATGATATATTTAGCAAGGATATTAATAAGTAATATTTTATAGCATTTGATATATTAAATACAGTACTTTTAATTAATAAAATAACTTTACCTTTTTTTGGATAATTGTTTGTATTATAGTGGCTGGAATGGCTGGTACTGCACATATCGATGGAGACCATATTGTTGTTTCAGTTCCTGAAGCTGTATTAGTTTCTGATGTTGTCACAGATGATGGGATAACTCTTGATCATGGCCTTGCTGCTGAAGTTGTCCATGGGCCTGATATCATCACAGAGACTGATGTAGTAACAGAAGGTGTGATTGTTCCTGAAGCTGTACTTGAAGCTGATGTTGCCATTGAAGAAGATTTAGAGGAAGATGAAGGGGATCATATCTTGACTTCTGAATTAATTACAGAAACCGTTAGGGTACCTGAGCAAGTTTTTGTGGCTGACCTTGTTACTGGTCCTGATGGACACTTAGAACATGTGGTCCAAGATTGTGTTTCAGGAGTTGACTCTCCCACAATGGTATCAGAGGAGGTTCTTGTAACAAATTCAGATACAGAAACTGTGATTCAAGCAGCTGGTGGTGTTCCTGGTTCTACAGTTACTATAAAAACTGAAGATGATGATGATGATGAAGATGAGGATGATGACGATGATGTCAAAAGCACTTCTGAAGACTACTTAATGATATCTTGTAAGTGAAACAAAGTCTTCTTTCATTACTCAGGAGATTGATTTATATAACTTGGAAAGATTTTCTGGGAAGGAGGATATGTTCAATAAAATTCATAGGGGAAACTTTTGAAAATTTAATTTTTTTCAAAGGTGTGTTCAGATTTTTTTGAGTTTTTTTAATGTTTTCAGTTTACTCAGTGAAATTTTATATCCAAAATAAAGTGCTATGGTGCATGTTTTAATATCAGAATAGGAACAGCTTGGGAAGGTACATAAGGATACTGATACAAATTTTTAATGGTAAAAATATATATTTCAAAATTGGAAGTAACTTTTTTTCCCCACTATTGCTTTCTTTGTAACACAGCAAGCAGTGGACTTGTCAATGCGATTTTGCATAGGAATTTATGCATATTATTTTAAGAACTGTTGTATATATTTTTTAAATACTTGAAAATTGAATCACTCAGATTGTGTTCTATAGTTCTCTTTGTGTGTATTCCATTTGACTAAGTATGTGTGTGTATGATTTATGCAAAACTATTTAGCACATTTATTCAGACTTCTTTCTGAGATCCTTAAAACTTTCCATGTGAGGAAAGAGGATAGAAATATTTTGTTCTCATTTGAAGTGATAGGTTTGCCAGAAAAAAAATAGTGATAATAAAAATCTCATGATGTTATCTTTGAAGCTTGAAAAAACAGTGGATTTTTATAAAATTTGAAGAAATTATGCTACAAGTAGTAAAGATTAGATAAAGACTTTTTACTTTTCTGAGGAAGGTTTTTGTTCTATTTAAAAATGCCAGAAAGATTAACTGGGAAGAGAATTACCATATACAGTGCATGTATGTATGAATATAGTAATTGCATGTTATATGTGTGTCAGTGATTTCAAAACAAACTAGATTTGTTTAATTTGTAATAAATATGATTTTAAAGTCTAGAATGTTAACATTCCTCTGTAAGCACTTTTGATAGTGAATATTTACATTGTTTTTAAGGGACTGATTTACATCATTAAAAATTGTGCAAATGTTATTATATATTCTTAAACAGATGTAGTTTACTATAGCAACTCATATTTACATCTTAACATTATAATAACTATGCTTATCATTTATAAAAGAATATGGCAAAAGTTGGTAGTTTCTTATTCATTAAATTGGTCTTAAAGTGACATAAAATTTAAATATCATGTATTGTAAATAGTCATACCTTGCATTATCTTCTGATTTGATTCTGCAAAAGTTTTTTTTAAACATTTCTGAAATATGTTAGATTCAAATATTTATCTTGACAATTACCACATATGTCAAATGCAAGGACTTCTTTGCTTCTAGTCTAATATAATTAGACTGAAAATTAACGAGAACATTATATAGCTCTAATGCTACTGAAACAACTGCAGGATAATTTTAGAGGGAGTTTAGGCTGAAGATTAATTTTTTTAAAGAGAGATAGAGACTTTTTAATATTTATTTTTTAGTTTTTGGTGGACACAACATCTTTATTTTATTTTTATGTGGTGCTTAGGATCGAACCCAGCGCCCCATGCATGCCAGGTGAGTGTGCTACCCCTTGAGCTACATCCCCAGCCCTGAGGATTAATTCTTAATCGGTAGAAAAGAAAAAAAATATTTAAAATATTCATTTAAAACTAAATTCCTTTATGTTGTAGAAAATGTATCTACAAATACACATAAAATAAATATTTTCCTACATCACTCATTATCCCTCCATTCTTATCCTTGATTTTTTTTATAATTCTTCCTCTATTTCACCATTTTCTTTTCTCTTAATCTGTTCCTTAATTTTTGATTACTTTTCACTACCACTCAGTTTCTGTTGGCTGTTGTTATCTTTCAAAAATCAGAGATTAAATTACCTTCAAGTGGGGCTGGGATTGTGACTCAGCAGTAGAGTGCTCACATAGCAAGGGCAAGACCCTTGTTCAATTCTCAGCACCACATTAAAAAAAAAGGCATTGTGTTAAAAAAAATTACCTTCCAGTACCTTAATCAAGAAGTCATTTTCTCTGAAATATAGATTTTCAAAATATCTTAGAGCTGAGGACTTAAGTTAGATCTTTGTCTTGTTCCGGAATCCCTAAGTATTCCTGTAAGGAAACCTAATCAATAGCTGCATTTTAGCAGTAGGAAATTTATCTTCTCTTAATATCTTAGGTACATCTGAGTTTAATCTATGCTCAATCCAAACTTCATAAATTCTTTATCTTAGCAGATGGTTAGGATCTCCCACTTGTGCTAAGTAACTTTGAAATTAAGAGAATAACCATATCTTTCTAATAAGACATTTATGGGTGAATATTTTCTTCATGAAAAACTTCACTGGAACAGGGAGCCACTTTAATGCATTTAAATGGCTTTTTACTTAGCAGTGAATATAATTTTATATAAAACAAAAAGTTTGATCTCAAACTTCAACAATTTCAGGGATAAAAGAAAAAAGTGATTTTAAAAGTAAAGAAAAGAAAAAAGTAATATTAAAAAGTAAAACCACTTTATTAAGATACTTAATTCACACACCATGCCATTCACTCATTTAATGTTTGTAAATTAATTTTTAGTATATTCAGAGTTGTATAGCCATTGCCCAATCAATTTCCCAATGTTTTCATTACCCACAACTGAAATTCTATACCCTTTAGAAGTTACTTGCCATGCCATTCACCCACAGGCAATTATAAATTCAATTTTTAGGTTTTTCTATTCAACGTATTTCATGTGTGGGATCTCACAATGTGTGGCCTTTTATATCTGGCTTTTTTTCACTCTGCATAATGTTTTCAAGGCATTCATGTCATAGTATGTATGGGACTTCATTATTTTTTATTACCAAGTAGTATTCCATTGTATGGATATGCCATATTTGGTTATCCATTCATCAGTTGATGGACATTTTGGTTATTTCCATTTTTGGCTATTATGAATAATACTGCTATAAACATTTGCATATGAGATTTGTGTGAGTATGTTTTCAGTTCTGTTGGATATCTACTTGAGAGTGGCACACGTTGGAAATTTAAATGTGACTATTTTTGCTTTTTCTCTATTGTGAAATATAGATCCTTTGCACATTGCTTAACCCCACCCCTGTAGTATATCAGTATGCTGTATATTTGTATCATATACAGATACAATTATATGCTCCATATAATTTTTGTAGAAGCAGCTTAAAAGTGGTAAAATAAAAAGCTTACTTACCTTTAAAAAGCAGTGTTATATTACACAGTTTGCTAAAATACAATTTAATCAAATTGTGCCGATAGGTTATAGACAAACATTTAATATTACCAAACTGTGCAGTGTTGGCAAACAATGTGCTTGACTATTTTGTTTTATATTTAATGCTAGTAGAGTAGATTTCTGTGGTGTAAATACAATACCCCCTTATTGGTGATTTGAGAAATAACATTGTAGGACTTGAATCATGTGCCTTACAATAAATAAAAATGTTAACCTTGAATTTTAGATATTTTAAGTTTTTTTTTCCATGCTAGAAATTGAATCCAGGGTTCTCTATCACAAGCTAAACCCCAACCTTTTTTTTTTTTTAACTTTGAGACAAGGTCTGCTAATTGCAGAGCCTGGCCAATATCTTGAGATCCTCCTGCATTAGCCTCCAAGTATCTGGGATTACAGTCATAAATAACTGTCCCTTGCTGGTATTTTAAGTTTTATCTTCATTAACACATTTTGTCCTACTGTCCCATATGTGGAACACATATAAAAACATAAATTAAGCAATAAATATACCACTTATGGTAACTTTGAAATAATTATTATGTTTTTAGAGGTCTATTATTTTGAGGAAAATTAATAGCCAAATGATTAGAGCACTTGAAAATATTTTAGAATTTTTCATTGTGAAAATGGCATAAACTTTGTTTTAGAAGTTACTTGTACTAAATGTTCAACTCAACAAAATATTATGTGCATAATTGATAGGTAATATAAGGAATGCATTCAAGAAAGTATTTTCTAGAACTAGGTTGTGATTTTTATTTTGAATAATGCACTGCATTTCAAATTATCAGATACTATAGTTGTCCAGTCTGTTTTCATTCTAATTAATAAATGATATATAAGCTCTAGAATATTTCCAACCTATTTTTATGCACTTATGTCATTTTCATTGACATATTTGCAAAATTGAAAACTTGGAACTTAATGGTTTAATAAGAATCTTTGAGGATTTATTTTTTTTTTAAATCAGTTCATTGCCTGGTAAGTCTATCAACATGTTACTTTTAGTGACAAAATTATAGAATAAATCTTGATTTACTTCAAACTGCACACCAACACCTTTAGTAGTTTTATCATCTATGGACTTAAAATACAGAACAAATACACTCAGTATATTTCAAAATTGTTCAGTCTGAGGAATCTAAATAAGAAATGATAGATGCATTAAACTTAAATCATGAACCTTAAAAACAGAAATAGTAATCTGAGAGAATAGCAACAATAATTACAAAACTTAAAGCTAAAATTATCTTACACATTTTAAGTTTTGCCAAAAATGTGTATTTAATGTCATGAGCTTTAATGTAGTGAATGGCAGCTTTAATTCAGATTTTCCAGAGAGAACTGTGGTCACTTTAAACTATTCATATATAATAGAGCAGTGTTTATAAATAACTATAAGTTAGTCCAACTTTAGAGATTCATGTTTTGGACACATTTTAAGATTTTAGTCCTCTATTTGTAAGAAAGTACTTTTTTTCCTGAAAACTTAATTTATCTATTTTAATTTTTCTTATAATATTGTTTTCTAGCATATTTTATGAGCTGTAAAACCAATAATATCTTGTACTAAATCATTTTTTCTTTCTTTTTAATTAGTTTTGTTGTCTCCTCAAAATTGACAAAAATCTAGTAATATAATTAGTTGCTATGATGGAATAAAATATTTAATACATTTGTTTTTATCATTTGAGTGCTTTCTTCCATAGAGAATGAAATATTCAAAATCTTAAGTGTGTGGAATCATGGTATTTTAGTCACAAAGTTAAAGTAGTTTTTGTAAAGAGAGTTTCTAAAATGTGATATTTTCCATTTTGAAAAGCCAAAATAATATTTTTAAAATTATATGAATCAAATTTGAAACTGAAGTAGGGAAAATGGAGACTTTGACCCATTTAGATCTTCCTGAAAAATTCTAAGAATACCAGATTTATTGCTTTTTAGTGATAATTTATTGTTTCTCATAGTTCTGGAATTGTTATGTATATTTAGAGCCTTCAGAATTTGATGTTTCTTATGTTTCATATGCAGTACTGTGATATGTGTATGCACACACATATATACATATATAGCAGATTTTAAATTTAGCATACATTTTAGTTTTTATAGGAATAGTATCAAAATTAAAAATGGTAGGCATATAATAATTAGGGAGAACATATTGCTTGAATTCAATTACTTATGGCCATAGGAAAAAATTATTAATATAATCTATTTATTGCATAGTTCATATATTCTATTCATATGAAACTAAATGTTATCCTTAAAAACTCTAGAGCAGAAAATAACATTTAGTATGTATACTTGAAATGTAAGTAGAAGTCTTAAATACTGTTGCTTTTCCTTTGTATATTATTTTTTTCATATGTACCGAATTATAAAGTTTTTATTTTTATTTTTTTCCTTTCTTTTTTTTAATTGGTTGTTCAAAACATTACAAAGCTCTTGACATATCATATTTCATACATTAGATTCAAGTTGGTTATGAACTCCCATTTTTACCCCAAATACAGATTGCAGAATCACATCGGTTACACATCCACATTTTTATATAATGCCATATTAGTAACTATTGTATTCTGCTACCTTTCCTATCCTCTACTATCCCCCCTCCCCTCCCCTCCCATCTTCTCTCTCTACCCCATCTACTGTAATTCATTTCTCTCCTTGTTTTTTTCCCATTCCCCTCACAAACTCTTATATGTAATTTTGTATAACAGTGAGGGTCTCCTCCCATTTCCATGCAATTTCCCTTTTCTCTCCCTTTCCCTCCCACCTCATGTCTCTGTTTAATGTAAATCTTTTCCTCCTGCTCTTCCTCCCTGCTCTGTTCTTAGTTGCTTTCATTATATCAAAGAAGACATTTGGCATTTATTTTTTAGGGATTGGCTAGCTTCACTTAGCATAATCTGCTCTAATGCCATCTATTTCCCTGCAAATTCCATGATTTTGTCATTTTTTAGTGCAGAGTAATACTCCATTGTGTATAAATGCCACATTTTTTTATCCATTCATCTATTGAAGGGCATCTGGGTTGGTTCCACAGTCAAGCTATTGTGAGGTAAGTTCCTGTTATCCCTAGTTTGTCTCGATAGACGCAGAAAAAGCATTCGACAAAGTACAGCATCCCTTTATGTTCAAAACATTAGAAAAACTAGGGATAACAGGAACTTACCTCAACATTGTAAAAGCTATCTATGCTAAGCCTCAGGCTAGCATCATTCTGAATGGAGAAAAATTGAAGGCATTCCCTCTAAAATCTGGAACAAGACTTGGATGCCCTCTATCACCACTTCTATTCAATATAGTTCTCGAAACACTGGCCAGAGCAATTAGACAGACGAAAGAAATTAAAGGCATAAAAATAGGAAAAGAAGAACTTAAATTATCACTATTTGCAGAAGACATGATTCTATACCTAGAAGACCAAAAAGGGTCTACAAAGAAACTACTAGAACTAATAAATGAATTCAGCAAAGTGGCAGGATATAAAATCAACACGCATAAATCAAAGGCATTTCTGTATATCAGCGACAAAACTTCTGAAACGGAAATGAGGAAAAACACCCCATTCACAATATCCTCAAAAAAAATATAAAGTTTTTAATAAGGAAAAAGAGGTGAAAGTACCCAATTTAGCTATTTCCTTTGCATGTGGCTTTGAAATAAAGCATATGTTGCTAAAATTAGACTTAACAAAAAATTTGTGGTTTGTATCCCATTGACTCAGTAGAAATTAGAGTATTTACTAAGAATTTATTGTTATAAGGATTTATCAAAGCTTCTTTTATAAAATTTTTGATATGTTCTGTTTCTTCCCTTTTTTAAAATCCTAGATTTCATATGCTATTTTATTTTATAAACAACTGCTGTTTAATTTGGGAGTTGTTTATGGGCCTTATTTTATGACTTATATGTTTAATGAATTTTTCTGTTAATGATTTTGGTGATAGAAGATTATTCAGTCTTTTCCACAAGCTATTTTAATTAAAGCTATATAGTTATGAAATATTTCCTTACGTAAATTAATATCTGTGAATAGTTTTTTTAATATAATTGTGATCATGTAGTATATCTGATCTTGTGTACTATTTTCCTGTGAAACAACACTTTGTGACTGCATAATAGGTCATCAAATGAATATAGTAGATACATGATTAAAATACATTATTTAATGTTGCGTTTAGGCTTGGCACACCCTAAATATCAGTGGTACTTTTTGACTGAAATAATTTCCTCTTTATATTTTACAGTGGATGATGTTGGGGAGAAATTAGAGCATATGGGAAACACACCATTAAAAATTGGCAGTGATGGTTCACAAGAAGATGTTAAAGAAGATGGGTTTGGTTCAGAAGTTATAAAAGTATATATATTTAAAGCAGAGGCCGAAGATGATGTTGAAATAGGTACAAAGACTAATTTTAGATTATTGCTATTATATGAATTAGATTTATTCTTACTTTTTATGTGGACTATTCTGAAATTTTCCTCAAAGGACAGATTTTAATAGTTTTCTTGGGTGGTGTATTTTAAAGTAGTATATATGAATATAAAGCAAGAATAAAAAATATGTTCTTAGAGTTTCAAACATGAATATTATAGCTGAAAATCTCAAAATGAGTGATGAGAATTTAGAGTAAGAAATTAAAATGAGTATTTGATATCATGAATTCTATAGGCAGGATCTTTGGGATTTAATCTTAGTTCTGACATTTAGCTGAGCCACCTTGAGTTACATAACCTCCATCTGTCTCTTGTTTCCTCATTAAAATGGCCGTAATGATAGTAACTACCTAATTGGGCTATTGTAAGGAATAAATAGGCAAATATATGTAAAAAAATAAATGATATTTGGAATATAAGTGTGATTTGTTAGTAATTGTTATTTCTCTGATAGCAGAAAATTAAAGTGTAATTTATGACAATTTTCTTCGCACTTTGAAGTTTATTTTGGAATTTTTAAAAATGTATTTTTCTAAAGGTAAATAGTTCTTATATATTCTCTTTATTAATTTAGGGAGTTATTCCATGATACTTCTCTATTTGGATATGTGTTTTAATTTTTAAGGTGGAACAGAAATTGTCACAGAAAGTGAGTACACCAGTGGACATTCTGTAGCCGGAGTGCTTGACCAGAGCCGAATGCAGCGGGAGAAGATGGTTTACATGGCAGTTAAAGATTCTTCTCAGGAAGAAGATGATATCAGTAAGAAAAAAGGGCACTGTAGTAACACATAAGTAGGGATCATGGATTAAAAAAAAAAAAAAAAAAAAAACAAGCAATCTCAGAGATAGAAGCACTGTATAAGAACAACATTTATTAAAATAAGCCTGACCCTTTGCTGAAAATACATGTATACATGTATTGTTCACATCCACAAACATGAAATATAATATCTAAGTTAATATACTAGAAATACAGAGATAAACAGTGTACAGTTCCTGACTTAATGAAGCTCAAAAATATATAGAGTTGAGTATCAATGTTATATGTGTTATTGAATATGTTACATATACATTTTCTCATTTTATTCTCATAACTCATCTCTGAGGTAGACGGTGTTATCTTTATTTTATGGAAGGAAGAAAGACTGAGGGAAAATAATTTGCCCAAGACCATTCCAATATTAAGTTTAGAAGGTAGCATTTGAACTCCTGTCTATTTAATTGTACTTCAAGTGTTCTTTCCATATGGCCTTGAGCACTATTGGTTTGTCTCTGGATTTAGCAGGGGAAGGGCTAACTGTTCTCTTTCTGTCACTGAGAGGTTAGCTATGTAAGTATTCATCCAAGTTAATCTGCTAAGATCTTGATTTTTAAAATGATGTTGATGGTAGTAAGTAGTTATTCCTTAAGATTTCTTGGGGCAAAGTACCACAGGATAAAAAAATCCTCAGGTTTCCTTTCCTGTCATGCTTTCTGAACACATTTTACTCTCTGCATACTTTATCCACACCTCAGTATACAGCCCTTCTCTAAGGCTACTTCTGTCTCCTTGACATGTTAAGGAAAAAAAAAAAACTATTGTTTTGTGCGAGTAGGGCAAGATCCTTCATTTCACAGCATTACCCTGACAATGTTGGGTTTTTACCTAAGCTGCATTCTGATAGCTATTCCTTTCATTTCCTTCTCTAGAAGACATGAATTCTATCCTCTTACATGAATAGTATATCACAGCTGAAATATCAAAACAAATGAGTGGAGAAGATTTGTATAGAGATGAAAGAGTTTAATGAAATAATTTCCATATGGTTTCTGAATCCTTTATTACTGTATTTAATTTATTAATAAAGGGGCACAGTAGGAGGTGGGAGACTAAGGTTTAGGTTGGCTGATACCAGAGTGCCAGGGGGATGTGAGAAACAAACCAGTGTCTCTTTTCTGGTAAATGGAGAGAAGAGAAACTTGGAGAAGGAAGGACACTTTTTCCTAAAGTTATTTTTACCTGCTTCTATAGTAAATAGAAGATCCCAGTGTGTGAATCAAAGAAAAGCATAAATTCAAGTCAGCTTTCTATTTAACAGGTTACATGTAAACAGATGCTTTCACATAAAGTACATACAGTGGCTCTATATTTAAATATTTTTAACCACAATGTTTTTTTAAATGAGCCTCAATCATTTTCCTCCTCAGTACTCTCTTAAAACTCAGCTTCTTGAAGTGTGTCCACATGTCTTTGAGCAATAGCATTTAATAAATACATATGTATGCATTTACATATACATATATAACCATTTTGTAGGAGTTTTCAATTACCAGTATTTTGATTATTTTTTTATTACATGTAATATTGAACATAGTATATGAGATAGTGTAAATTACTTTCTAATGTTGACTCTATGGGAAACTTAGTCTGAGTTTGAAGTACTATCAGGTAAATTTATTGGATACAATTCCTTTTATAAATTTGTAATTTCCAATGGGCCATAAAATCAGTCAATATATTTCATGCACACATTTTATACAATTAAAAAGCCATTTCAGAAGACTTGGATCTGAGAGGAGAATAAGAATTTTTATAAATTATTGTCTCCTAGTGGCATTAGCCTCCAAAAGTGCCTAATATAAACCTACACTAAATTTATAAAATTTTAGGTTAACCAAACTGAAATCTTGAAAGTTGAAAGGTTTAAATTGTTTGGAATTTTTACCCATTTATTAAATATTTGGGGTTATAAACAAGGAATTATTTCTAAAATTTAGGTTGCGCTGAAATAGCAGATGAAGTTTACATGGAAGTCATTGTAGGGGAAGAGGAAGGAACTTCTCTCCCTGAGATTCAGCTTGAGGACTCTGATGTTAATAAAACAATTGTCCCTGTTGTCTGGGCTGCGGCATATGGTAGGACACTGGCATTTTTTCACCTGATAAGTACATAACATATGTATTTAATCAGCCGTTTGGCCATTAAATATGCTGTGCTAATGCCACTGTGAGTTGGCTAATATAATAAAATGTTTTGTGTGGACTGATTCATCTCTAGTTACTTTTTTTAATGTTTTTTTTTTTTTTTAGTTTTTTTAGGTGGACACAATATCTTTATTTTATTTTTATGTGGTGCTCGAATCCAGTGCCTCATGCATGCTAAGCGAGCACTCTACCACTGAGCCACAACCTCAGCCTCCTCTAGTTACTTTTTACGTGTTTTTTTCTATCACATATTTTGTACTATTTGAAGTGAACTTTGCTTAATACATTTTCAGTACCATCTATTTTAAATACTACCTGTATAAGTGCCATAAAACATTTTATTTTCCTAAAATAGGAGTACCCTTTGAAAAATTAATCTTTTCCCTTTTGGAAAAATTCATTTCAATTATTAACACCACAGACAAGATGTTGGGGTTCTGAAAAGCAACAAATTCAGGTGTGCTCTTTTAGAAGTATGTCATGGAAGGTAAATTTATCAAGTTATTTTCTTCCCCTTCTGTCTGTTTTATCTGATTCCTGTGTAATGTACAAGAAAGTCCAGGTATACTGTGTACTTTGAAAAATATTCGTGTTCAAATGCATTAATTTACCTAAACTTGGTTCACCCAAAGGTACATTCATTCAAGAGTCATTATTGAACATCTCCAGGGCTAGAAGTACTTTGAAGAAATAGTTACAGAGTTTACATTTAAAAAGTAAAACTGTCCAAAGTATAAATAATTCCAAGAATGCTGACAGCAGCCCTTATTTTCAGTGTGCAAAACTACCTAATCCAAGAGAGTGGAAGAATTTAGCAAAATATTTTTTAATCCAAGGAATGATGGGCAAAGTAAGATTTTAATAGATTAAAATGTGATCTCTAGTAATCACTATAATCAGCATATTAGTTAGTAATTAGTCTTTTTCTTTTTCTTTTCTTTTCTTTTTTTTTTTTTTTAGGAGATGAAAGAAGAGTTTCCCGAAGGTATGAAGATTGTCAAGCATCAGGTGAGAGAACATTTTATATAAGTTAAATATCTGGCTTTATATACTGCTTGGTAAGTAAAGAATAGTTTGAATCTGCAGAAACATTTGTTGGATTATTACTTGCCTGGTCATACCTAATATAGTTACATAGGAATTTGCTTCTTTGGGAAATTAATTTACATATGGATATAATGGGAGTTAATCAGTGAATGCATTTCATTCCCTCAAGATACAGAGTTTACCACACTGGCCATAAAAGGCTGCTGTGGAAAAATTATAAAATACAAATTATTTGGGCAGAAAAGTAAAAGTGTGTTCATGATATCAGTCATTTGTTAATGTCTTTCTTGAGTGGAACTGTTTTCTTAAGTTAGATGGCAAACAGAGAGAGCTAGAGAGATCAATTTATAACAGTTATATAAAATCCATGTGTGAGCACAGGTTTTTTTTCTTAGTTTTAATTCACTCTAAGTAGTATTTTGTGGTTCATTTTTTTTCTTTCTCAAGTGCCGCAGTCTGGCTGGGCACACAATCACGAGCCACCACACAGCTTGTAGATTCAAACAGCAACTCTTTATTCCCGAACTCACACCAGCCGTCTACAATCACGTTCTGGGGAAATCCACGTTCTCTGCCCAAATCCACCACCACTGGGCTTCTGTCTCCCAAAATATACTGTCTGAATCCCGTGAGAACTCAAGGGGAACTCAGGCAGCAGGATACGCCCTATTCCCAGCAGGAATAATCTTAAACCTTAAACCTGGAACCTAAACCGGGAAAGCCCTAATCCGCCTTGGTCCTTGAGCAAGGTCACCTACATTCAATGTCACTGCAACATGGGGTACGCTGGCAAGGAAACTGTCATACCTACTTGGCTAATGGCTCCCAGCACTCAAGGTGGCTTTTCCTCATGACAGACTGTTTCATTGTTCTGTTTCTACCTTTGGGAAGAATTTGACTATCTAAACTTAAATGTAGATTTCACAGAAATTGATGATATTTGTATATTGCAGTATACAAGCTAACCTGAGAGTTTTATAGATCTACAGTTTTAAATTAAATTGCATAGCACCACAATAGATTTGTGAGAACTGAAGTTGTATTAAGGATTTTATTCCCTATGCACTGATTCCACTGAAATTGTGGCAAATTGCCTGCCACAGTTATTTAAATCTCTAAAACCTACCTTAATACCCATCACATCAAGTATACTATTCTAAAGCACATATATAAGAGGTTTAATTTTTCATGCATTACATATAGTTACCATGATTATATTCCTTCACTGATATATGTATATTTCTTGCTAAATCACTATGATTTTATTAGCTACCTTTGGTGAGAAATTGGTCTGATGACAAGATTTTTAACAGGGTCCTAAAATTCAGTTTCTTATGTTACATGTATCTCATCGGTTTCTTCTTTTAGGATGATTAAAGTGATATATTTTGACATTAATTTCATGTGATATCCTATTCAAAGTGTTTACATGTATACAACGGTGAGAGAGGAAAAAAAGAGAATGAGAATGAATTGAAATTCACTACTGCAAAGGCAACTTGGTACCATGTCATTTGTAGTAATTAATCTAACAAAACCAAAAAAGTGTAATGCTATGTGTTTTAAAGTGTGTTGATTTTTTCCAGGAAATACTTTGGATTCAACATTAGAAAACAGAAGTAGTACAGCAGCACAGTACCTTCAAATTTGTGATAGCATTAATACAAACAAAGTACTTAAACAGAAATCCAAGAAGAGGAGAAAGGGAGAAACAAGGCAGTGGCAAACAGGTAAATACTCTGCTCTATGAATATCATAATAATTGGAGATGTGCAATTATTTTTTATAACCAAAGAAAAAAAATCTGTTGCTTACAGGTAGTCATACTTCCCATGTTCCTGTTTCTGTATTATATAGATAATTGTTTTTTACAATGTGAGACTGATATGTAATAAAACTATGCTTGTCTGCTCCTTTTAAAGAGAATTTTCAAGTTGATTTAATTAAAGGTTGTCAAATTCTGGTTTTCAAAATATATATATGATGTTAGCATTTTGACAGGTGAGTGGTCTATAGTAAAATGTGCCACTCATTTCTTTCCAGTGAGCTACTTTACCATAAATTTCTTTTCATTTGCATTTTATCTTGTAGGATTTTATTCAACTAATATAGTTTTCACATAGTGAATATCAACTAGTTTTGTCACCTTTGTTGTAAAATCCTTTAAAACAGTCTGACCAAATGTCAAATTTCCTTTATTTTTTTTACCTAGCTGTTATAATAGGTCCTGATGGACAGCCCCTGACAGTATACCCTTGCCATATTTGCACAAAAAAGTTTAAATCCAGGGGATTCTTAAAAAGACACATGAAGAATCATCCTGATCATTTGATGAGAAAAAAATATCAGTGTACAGATTGTGACTTTACAACTAACAAGAAAGTAAGTTTCCATAACCACTTAGAAAGCCATAAGCTTATAAATAAAGTTGACAAAACACATGAATTTACAGAATACACGAGAAGATACAGAGAGGCTAGTCCACTGAGTTCAAATAAGCTTATTTTAAGAGACAAGGAGCCGAAGATGCACAAGTGCAAATACTGTGACTATGAAACTGCAGAGCAAGGACTGTTGAACAGACATTTGCTGGCTGTTCACAGCAAGAATTTTCCTCATGTTTGTGTTGAATGCGGGAAGGGTTTTCGCCATCCTTCTGAACTCAAGAAACATATGAGAACCCATACTGGTGAGAAGCCATATCAATGTCAGTATTGTGTCTTCAGGTGTGCAGATCAATCAAATCTGAAAACTCACATTAAGTCTAAACATGGAAACAATTTGCCATATAAATGTGAGCATTGTCCCCAAGCATTTGGTGATGAAAGGGAGCTTCAACGCCATCTGGATTTGTTTCAAGGACATAAGACACACCAGTGTCCTCATTGTGATCATAAGAGCACCAACTCAAGTGACCTTAAGCGGCACATCATATCTGTCCATACCAAGGATTTTCCTCACAAATGTGAGGTCTGTGATAAAGGTTTTCATCGTCCTTCTGAGCTCAAAAAGCATAGTGATATTCATAAGGGTAGGAAGATTCATCAGTGTAGGCACTGTGACTTTAAGACATCAGATCCATTCATTCTTAGTGGTCATATCCTTTCAGTTCATACTAAAGATCAGTCATTGAAATGTAAAAGGTGCAAGAGAGGGTTCAGACAGCAAAATGAGCTCAAAAAGCATATGAAGACCCATACTGGAAGGAAGATTTACCAATGTGAGTATTGTGAATACAGCACTACAGATGCATCTGGCTTTAAACGACATGTGATCTCAATTCATACAAAAGACTATCCACACAGGTGTGAATTCTGCAAGAAAGGATTTCGAAGACCATCAGAAAAAAATCAGCATATTATGAGGCACCACAAAGAGGCTCTTATATAATTATATCAATATAAAGAAAGAAGCTATTTACAAAATAAGATATGCCACTTTGGAGGAAAATCTGTTTTTTCTGGTTTCAAAGCTTGATATTAAACCATAACTTTACATTCTTTGTATTAAAGATCTTAAAATATTTGAATTGACAGGGGAATCTCATAGCCCTTTGAAAATTACATAATGAATTTAGAATTGTTTTAGCAAAAACTTAAATGTCTATTTAATAGTATTATATGCATAATTAAATTGCAAAGGGGAAAAGTAAAGACAAATACCTTATTGGCTGATCATACTAGAGACAAATGTTTCTGAAAAGAGAACACATATTTGAGGAGTTTTAGCAATGCTTTGCTTTAGCAAGCAAGCCTCACTTTTATGCAATTTTAGAAATGGGGTAGGGAAATAAAATACAGTCATCCATCAGTCATTTAGTCATTGAGCCTTTTTATATTGTACCTGGAAATTGAATTCCAGAAAAGGAAAAAGTTTTGTGTGTTCATTCAAATAAATTTCACTGAAAAACAGGTTAGATTGATTCAGTACTATTAAAAGAATTTCAGAGCAGCTAATATTTTATCACAGGATAGGATGTTTAAAATACAGCATTCTGTGCTGAAATCTAGGGTAAAGTCTAAGGACTAAACTTCCCTTTTTTTCTGATGTTCAACTTTATTGTTCTGTACGGCATATATGACAAAAGTATATTTGAGTCAAATGTGGCTTTCTAAAATGGATGCAACTGTAGTGTTGCAAACAAAATCAGCACTATATTTCTTAATGATCTAAAGATTAAACTGAGAGAACACTTTTCTTAAATATAATGTTTAGAGGTTTTTTTAGGGCGTCTTAGCAAGTATGATTATTCTAGTCTTACTTGCTTTAATGTTTAAAGGTGCAATTTTATGCCATTATTGAAATTTTTGATTTAAAAAATCTATATACCATGTTATTAACATGCATTTTCAATATGAGGCAGTATTTGTGTGGTATTTAACAGAACAATATACTGCCAATAGAGTTTGGAGGTGGATATTCAGTTTACAGTGTATAAATTTAAAATATGCATCCCTTTAACAACGCTTTGTGTTAGCATGCTGCAAATCAAAATGGCGCTTATATTAAAAGCTGGTTTAGGGAAATTTTAATGAAAACCCTGTTCATAAATGTAATGCATATGATGTGTACTTTTAAGTTTTAGTTGCTTCATGTTTACATTCAGCTCTTCAACATAATTAAAATGTAATTTTACTTCATGCTATATTGTGGCTTTGTGTTTCAAATAATGTTCACTTTTCTTTTTTTTTTGCACCAGATAAGAATCAGTTACTTGAGAATATTTTTGTTAATCTTTCTTAACTTCAGAATATTAAATTTGGAAAATCTAAAATTGTGTGTTATGTGGCTGTAAATGATGTACACGCTGTAAAATAAGATTGTCATTGTTATGTGGGATTATTATTTCTAAATGTTACTCATTGAAATGAGCATACAATAATAAAAAGCATTTATTGCACTTTTAGGTTTTATGAGCTTATTTAAAATTGAGTTGTAATGTTCATTCCTTATTAAAAGCCTTTTAGCTTAACATTTATCTTAGGCAATTTGGACCTTTTAATCATCTTATTGAGTTTTGTGAATTAATAATAGTTTGAGCTAGGAATTTAAACAATTCTGGTGGCAGGTTTATTCCTGAAGAATGTATGTTATTTGTTAAAATCATAATGAAGTGCTATATAGTTACCCATTTTAGAGTCTTGAGATTTAGTAAAATCTAAAGATTCTTAACCTGTTTACATGACATAGTTCTGAGATAAGAATATATCTATTTATATTCCTAATGTACATGGGAAAAGGAAAGTATTGATTCAAGTATTTAGGAATAATTTCTGAAAATGAGTACAAAATTACTTGCTGTGTTCTAACTAGGCCAAAGTTAATAGAATGCTAATAATTCTAGATATATCACTCTTAGTTGTAACTGTCAATTGGATTATCATTCTTTAATAACCATTAACTGAAAGGAAGAAATCAATTACTTTTACATGTTACACCAGTTTTCTCAATTTTATGTCTATTGATTCACCTAGGTAGCTTATTAAAATTCATATTGTAATTTAATTGTGGGGCCTACAATTGTGAAATTCTAGAAAGCTCCTTTACGTTGCCACCAAATGAAAAATAAGGTATAAGAAAAGCATCCAATATAATTGATTACTATGGGTGAGTGGACAGAGGCATTCCTTACTGAGTACATGTCATTTGAGTAGCAAGAGGTAAGCTGTCACATGAAGATCTTATTGAAGAGCAAGGCAGAGATAACAAAAAAAAAATGCAAATCATGTGTCAGCAAATTTGGTTAAATAATGATGAGTAAGAGGAAATGATAGGAGAAGGGACTTGTGAGGAGGTTGAAGTAGGAAGCCTTTTGGAGGTTTCAAGGAGGATGTGTAATAGATTTGATTTACATTTTGAATAATCACTCTGTAGGCTGTGTGAAAATATAGTGTTTCTGAAGGGAGCAAAGAGCCATGCTAAATTATTCCCATAGTTCATGGTTACAGTGGAGCTGGAGAAAGGTGGATTGGATTTAATTTTATTTATAAATCAGACCTAGAAAGCTTCAGCCCAAGAAAAATAAAACATATGAATTAAGTCAGTGTCACAAATTAAAGATTATATTAAATGTATAGGTTTTTACTGGCAAAAGGTTTTCCTATGTACCACGCAGATTCCATCTAAAAATGTAGATCTGCAAATTGAAGTACCTTCACAAGAAAGAAAAGATGAAAATTACTGAAAAATCATTTTTCCAGAAGAGTTCATGGCATTATATATCGATGGGTTTATCCCATTGTCACATCTAAAAGGCCCAGGGCATGACAGAGAGGGTAGTTAGGAATAATTATTTAAGAAAGCCCTTTATAATCAGTTTCTTGTGTTTTATACAAGACAATTACCAGTTGGAACCTGGAACTGCCCTTAAAGACACAAATATGCAAACGTAGAAGAATATAATTAGCCTCTATGTAGCCCTCTCCCAGTTCAATAATTATATAATTTCCTGACAAATCGTTTTTGATTTATATTTTCCTCCTTCTTCCACTTACCAATTGGTTGATTTGATGCCTTCTCCATTTGGTTTAATTTGGAGCAAATATTAAATATCTTTTAAATAATTTGTTGATATATAGCAGGCAGAGGAACAAAAGAATCCTCTTGTTCAGATCTTTGAGAACCTCTTGTGAGAACCAAAAAAAAAAAAAAAAGCTAGCTAGACTTAGAATCAAGTTCTTTAAAATCAGTAAGGTTTCATTTACAAAAAATGAAGGATTAGATTTAAACCATAGACTATCATCAGAGTTTTCCCAATTTCCCAACTTTGTATAACCCCACCTTACCCTTCAAAAAGAGGCAGCATGTGAATTTGGAACTCACTGAGAAGGGTATCTTAAAACCTTGGATCCTAGATAAGATCTGGATGTTATGAGCAGTAGGTTCAAGACTAGATAGTACAGTATCTCCAACTAAAAGTGTTTCACCTGCGTAACAGGTGAAACAATTATTATGCCTTTCTCTTTGAACCATTACCCAAGTAACTATTGCAAAGAGAGCTCTCCACTTTTAAAACTGAACCAATTGACAATATGGACACTATCCCACTTAAACCCTAATATAAGTCTTAATCATTTCCTGTTTAATTCCCAAACCCTGTCATTCTAGATTCCCAAACCCCCCACTCTTTTTTTTTAAATATTTTTTTTAAAGAGAGAGAGAGAGAGAATTTTAATATTTATTTTTTAGTATTTGGCGGACACGACATCTTTGTTTGTATGTGGTGCTGAGGATCGAACCCGGGCCGCACGCATGCCAGGCGAGCGCGCTACCGCTTGAGCCACATCCCCAGCCCCCAAACCCCCCACTCTTAATATTGACTAGCTCATCAGAAACTTTTAGAACATGATATTAAAAAGCCTATGTATGGGTTGGGTTTGTGGCTTAGTGGTAAATTGCTTTCCTAGCATGTGCCAGACACTGATCCACAGAACCACATAAAATAAATCAATAAAATAAAAATATTGTGTCTATTTACAACTAAAAAAAATTTTTAAAGCCTATATATTTTCCCATTTTAAGAAATTGGTGTGCTTTGTTGAATCTTGGCACATATAAACTAGGAGCATTCAACATTGATTGTATTAGCAAACTAGCTATAGGATCAAAGTAAAATTTCCCCTTAACATAAAGTATCTCAGGAAGATATACTTCAATAAAAAAGTACTATTTTAATGTGGTGGGATGAGAAGCCAACAACATCTCATTGTCTACAAGGGATAGATACAAGTAGATTACTAAATCTATCATATAATGATGTTGGCTATCATAATTATGTCAGAGTAATTCTAGTTTTTCTTTGTGGACTAAAAGTGGTATCTCTTATTCTAGAGTAAATATTGCTAAATATTTTTATTAAGGAAGATGTGTTTAATACATTATTTATTTTTAGTTTTCCTGTTACTCTTTATCTTCAGATGAACATTAAATACTTTGCATTTTTGATTACAAAAAATGTACAATGGAAATCCAATAAATTTAGTAATTACATGTGATGGGAAGGTTGTACTATTTGAGGAAATATTTTCAAAACATCATTTACTTTGAAAAGAAACATTTATCTTTGTAGATTGCAATAATGAGAAAGAGGTGTGAGGATGGCTTAGGTAAGGATCTAAATTGTGTAGTGAGATACAATTTTTTCAAAAGATTTATTTTGTTCATTTGGTACTGTCCATATTAAGAAATGTAATACGATTAAAACCTCATTATAAAGATGGGATGAATGCATTATGGAATTATATTTGAAACAAGTACTTAGAAAACGCTATTTATATGGAAGAAATTCAAATATGAAACAGAAATCTTCATCAACTGGAGGTCAAATTATGTTGAAGTTCCATCATTACTAGTTCACATTAGGAAGTCCTTTTGGGGTGGGTGTGTGTATATGTGTGTGTGTGTGTGTGTGTGTGTGTTAATTAGAATGGTGCTTATTAGTTCCCACATAAGTATTCACATGAGAATAACTTCCTGACAAAAATATACAGCTAAGTTAAAAAGCCTTCCTACACATTTCTTACTTGAACTTTCACAAATACTTAACACATTTTAGATACAAACAAATTACTTTATATGTTATTGTACAGGTTCCATTTTATTTGATAAATCTAAAGTGAAAACATTCTGATATAGATATTAGGTAAACAAACATTCCTCACCTGACATCTTTGTAATTTTCATAAATAATTTGCTTAAAACCAGTGAGAAGAAAAGATATAACTACTCTTTCCATTGATAATAATCACAAATGAAAGATATTTAATATATGTGCATATATTTATATATTTGAATATACATACATATATTTAAATATATAGAAGGACTCTCCATAGTATTAATTTTTCCTTAGAGTTTTTTAAAAATAATTGAGTATAATAAGGACCTTAATATGATCCATATTCACTATCCATGGGTCAAGTGGGCCAAGAAACCGCTGACTTCTTAATTGCTTTCAAATTTTGAATATTGTTAGTTTTCAGTATTTTAGAAAAATCACACCTGTACTCATTTTCAAACAGTAATGGTGGCAGTTTTCTATCAGGCTTATAAAGTTTCTTCGCCTTATATCACTTATAGTGGGTGCATAACTATATATCTTTATTATGGTTACATATATGAGCAGTTAGCAGACGAGAAACTCCTCTGTTTCTACTACACCAAGCAAAAAATGTAAGACTACGGTTATCTATCACAAAATATTGATAAAATAGGAATTGAATCAATTCAATGGAGCCTAACATTTTGCCCAAAGCATTACATAATATAAATGAGTCTTTTTACCTGCATAATAAGACCTATTTGTATATTTCTATAAAAGAATTTTGAAAACATTTTTCTCATTTATAGTTTCCATTAGCATATAGTGCATCATCTGTACTTATCGTAACAGTTTCTTAGTAATTATTAGAATACTACTATAAATCACATGATTTTATATAGATATTTTCAGAGAGTTCAGTGCAAAAGTTCATTTACATGTAACTCAAATTATTTGTTGCCTTATTACAAACACAATGACTTTTAGTAACTCTTATCTTTAGCCAAACAAGTTGAAATTAAGACATTCCATTCTTACCTTGTAATGTATTTAAAATTCTTTTGTTCATTTTGTAAGGAAGGTCATCAAGAGTACAATTAATTAAACAAACTTAAAGTACATTACTATAAATTTTTTTCCCAAGAAGTATTCACCATCAAATATTTGTTGCTATTTTATTCTATATGCTTTTGTATATATGCATTACTTCAATATAATATTTGTATACCACTATGAAAAACTACAACTTCTTTTTGAACACTAATACAATAGAGTATTACATATTTTAAGGAAGTGAGTGGCCTCATTTGGGAAGGAAATGCTTTGAAAGAAAATTTTCAAGACACAAAAGGATATTATTAGGAACTATGTAGCATATCGTACAATTAAATGGATTTACTTCTTTAAAAAGATATCATCCCACTTCCCTGCTAAATGAAATTAACTATCAACTTTGGCTTAGTTATGTTTCCAAGAGGTGTAATAGTATGTAATAAAGCATCTCTTTTAGTCATAGGCTTCAAGTGAGAAAACCCAATGTACATTATATGTATCATGCCCTATAGTCTTTTATTTTAAGGATTCAATTTTTTTGCCTCTTGTTAAAAACAATGTTAAGTCTTTTAACAAAATTGTATAATAAATATTGGAGAAAATATTCTAATGGAATAACTTATAAAATCTCTAACTCCACAAATTAGTTAACCACCTAAGATGTACCATATTTTTAAAAAATAGCTGGTTATGTTCTACAGTGACTGCAATGGAAGTTCAAATAAACAAGTTCCCTCTTTTAGTTTGTATGCTGCTACATTGCAGCTACAAATAGAAAGGACTGATATTTCATAAATGGCTGGAGAAACTCATCTGTAGAATTAAGTCATTCCATTAGATTCATTGGTTAGTAGCATGGTTCAAAATTTTGATTGGCCTTTAGTGAAGGAAAAAGAAATTAAAATACTAATATAGACACAGAAAACTTCCTTTGAGATGTAATACTTTAAAGTTGTTTCCATTCATGGCTAGAAAAGAAAAAAAAAGTTATCTTACAATGGGTCCATAATTAAAACATTATTATTATTGTATGCTTACAATTATGAAAATTATTTAAGTTGATATGTATAAAACCACTGGAAACACATTGTACAATTGTGGTTCTCTTTTATATGGTATTAATTGAAACAAAGACCTGTCTTTTGACTTTAGTGAACTTATAGTTTTCAAATGATTTGAATCAGGGTGCAGGGAAAATTGAGTTGATTTCTTCCATAGTTCATATTTATAGTTTAGATATATGCTCAAAGGTTTCAGTTAATAAATATGGATCATCTGAATTTACTTGAATATATTTTGAACTTCTTACCAGTCTCTAGAGCCTTTTCAGATATCGACTTTAATGTTTATTGCTTTATGTTTTAATGTAGAGGGATGAAATGGCTACTATGCTAAACTCTTTATTTGGCAGGTCCTCACACTGTTGTCACCTATGGGCACATGTGGTTATTAACAATTGTTTCCACTTTGAGCATGAAATTATCCGAGTGACAATTTTAAATCTTATGTTGACATTTTTTGCTAATCATATATATGGTTCTTGGGTCATCAAGTATACTTTATCAGTTCATAATTAGCAATAAGTAATTCTCAACTAATTAATGACTAAGTAAAATAACATTTCAAAGATCGGATTATTCAGGTATATTTATATGGGGTTATTAAATATTGGTTGTTTTCACTAATGATAGATAACCATATTTACAAGACTGATGGCTTGATTATATAGTTAAAGGATGGTTTCAGAACTAAAAACTAAACTTTGAGTTACTCAAATAATTGAGCTTGGTCTGGGTTTGTAGCTCAGTGCCTTCCATGTGTGAGGCACTGGGTTCAATCCTCAGCACCAAATAAAAATAAATAAAAAATAAAATAAAGGCACTGTGTCCATCTACAACTAAAATATTAAAAATATATTTGAGCCAGACACAGTGGCACATGCCTGTAATCCCAGCAGCTCTGGAGGCTGAGACAGGAGGATTGTGAGTTCAAATCCAGCCTCAGCAATAGAAAGGTGCTAAGCAATTCAATGAGACTCTTATCTCTAAATAAAAAACAAAATACGGCTGGGGATGTGGCTCAGTGGTTGAATGCCCCTGAGTTCAATCCCTAGTATCCCCCGAAAATTATATGTATATATACATTATTTGTTTAGCCAAAAGATGTTTGGTGGTAAGGTTAGTTATTTGACAGATAATTTTATTAATAATACATCTGAAATATTTTATTTTATTAATAATACATCTCAAATATAATTTTAATTTCTTCAAAAGGTTCTGAAGAATATTTATTTCTATTTACTGACATATTGCAAACATGTAGAAAAGTACAACTAAATGAATTTTCCCAAACTGAACACACATATACCATCATCATACAACTCAAAAAACAGAACATTATTAGTAACTAGGTGTTCTCTTTATAGTCCTCTGCCTACTTCCCAATAATAATCACTTCTTGACTTTAATGACCTATGGATTAGTTCTTCCTGATTTTAGTACCTAAGCAGTTGGATAGGTGGAGAATTTTAACATAATGAGAATTTTTACAATGTTTTACAATGGATTATGTATAGTTTGAGAGCTGGCATTCTCAACCTTTTTCCTGTCCATTGCACCTACAGGATATCACACATTCCTATGCTCAGTGGATTATTATTAGAATTATTAGAGTGTAGGAGTATATAATTAGAGAAAAAAATGAAGAGCATTTTGTTGTATTAGCAGGGTTTCTCAACTTGATCTCTATGAATATTTTGGGTTGGATAATTCATTGTTGTGAGGGATGGTCCTGCACATTGTAGGATTTAGAAGCACCTTTGGCCTTTGCAAACTTGATACCAATATATATCCCTGCTTTAGCTGCCAAAATGTCTCTAAACATTGCTTAATGTGCCCTAGAGGGCAAAATTACCCTTGAATAGAACTACTGTGCTGGGAATATATATTTCCTCCTCTTTTTTTTTTTTTTTTTTTTGTACTGGAGAGTGAATCCAGGGGCACTTAACCACTGAGCCAAATCCCCAGCCCTTTTTTATGTTTTAATTAGATACAAGGTCTAGCTGAGTTGCTTAGAGCCTTCCTAAGTTGCTGAGGCTGGCCTTAAACTCATGATCCTCCTGCCTCAGCCTCCCAAGCTCCTGGGAGTACAGGCATGCACTACTATGCCTGGCTATACTTCCTCGTTGATGATCATTAATTTAAAAGTCAACAAGTCAATCAATAAAAGTTCTAGAGAAGTAGCTATCATTTATCATAAGAAGGTTTTAATAATTAGCCCCTTAGCAATGAATTGAATGATGCGGAGGTAGGTCTGTGTTACCTAGTGATTTTGGATGATGTTTTAGAAAGTAGATATTAGACTACATGGCATTTAAATGACTGTTCAGCAGGCTCACTCTACACTGTAGGATATAAAACTGGAAGATCTTACAATCTAGTGATATATATACATATATATATATATATATATATATATATATATGTGTGTGTGTGTGTGTGTGTGTGTGTGTATCCTCTTTCAAAATTCTAACAAAATTCTAACAAACTTTACAGGAGTAAATACCATATTCAAATACACAAAACAGATTCTACTAAAACATGTCTTTACCCCATCCTTCACTCTCCTTCATAATTGTCTAGGATATTTGATATTTTGCCTCAAAATGTAAAGGCTGTTAAGATATAGTCAAATTAGGTATAGAAGCACTCATGTGAACTTACACAAGTCCATCTGTCTTCTGTTTTCTCAATCACAATAGTCTGTGTGTCACTACCTGGTGGTATGTATTCATAGTCATCATACAGGAGGCCTAGGATTGGATATTGTGTCCTGTACCTATACACAGGAAAAAAGTTTACAGTGTATGAGAAAATAACTCATATTTAGTTGCTCATAGTTTGATTCCCCTTAATAAACCACTTGGCTCTGAATGACTTTTAAATGTTTCAAAGAAAGAATATAAACCACCTCTCAATAGGCAACGATTTATTACAATTATTTTCCAAAAAACAAAGGGGAGAAACTTTTACCTCTGCCTGTCATGGATCATTGACAGCACAGGAAAATGATTCCAGACAAGGATACAAATGAAGTGTGTCCTATAAAGCCTAGCTCACTGCCTAGAGAGATTTACTTGGTTAAAGGATAGGGAAAACTAACCAAAACATACTTCAGAAATATCACCAAGCAGAGATGACAGAGTGTAGAGAACAGGTAGGTTAAGGCAGTCAATTTTTGTTGGCAGATTACCAGAAAATAGAAAGTTATACAGATGGGGAGAGAGGTCAGGAGAGGCTTCCCTATAATTTGTTTGGTGAAGGCCGTTCAGTATATGTATGGGAAGACGTCATCAATTCCAGGGAAAGACCATTAAAAAGGAGCAGGCTGGAAATCCCTTGAACTTGTACAGGGATGGTCATTTTTGTGTTCCTCTAGCCAGAGTAGAAATAACTTATAATATATGGGACATACCATAGACAACATAGAAAACTACTGTTTTGGTAGGGATATGAATTAGCCTTAAGTGCAGGTTGTTCTAACAGTTTAAAAGCATGACTTGAAAGTATTAATCTGTTTCCAAGTAAATTTATCTCAGAATAAAACTTCCAAATATTTTAAGCAATACCAAAATATCTAGAATACAACAACATAAAACCTTAATATATGGCATCCCATAAAAAATCAGTAGTCAGCCAGGTGTGGGGGTTCATGCCTGTAATCCCAGCGGCTCAGGAAGCTGAGGGAGGAGGATTGTGAGTTCAAAGCCAGCCTCAACAAAAGCAAGGCACTAAGCAACTCAATGAGACCCTGTCTGTAAATAAAATACAAAATAGGGCTGCGGGTGTGGCTCAGTGGTCAAGTGCCCCTGAGTTCAATCCCTGGTACCCCCCCAAAAATCAGTTGTCATACAATGAAACGGGAAGATATGACTAATAATGGAGAGAAAAATAAATTAGTAGAAACAAGCCAAGAAATAATACTAATTAAAAATGAGTAGGAAAGATGCATCTATTAGAAATACAGAAAATATATTCAAGAAGTTAGAGGAATTCATGAGCACAATGAAGAAAGTAATAGAGGATATTAAAAAGGTCATATTGGAGTTGTAAAGATGAAAAATACATTGAATAGGATTAACAGCAGAGTGGACACTGTAAGAAAAGACTAGTAAATTTGAAGGCATAAATAAATTGTCTAGAATAATACATGATGGAAAAAGACTGACATATACAACATGTAGAAAATGGTCATTGCCATTGTGTGTGTTTGTGTGTATTAAAGTTATGCAGAATGGCAGAAGATAAGAAGTAATTGAATAAATCACAACCAAATTATTTCCAAGTTTGATGAAAAATGAAATTACAGATCTAAGAAGTTGCTTAAACCTCAAGAAAAAGAAATATGAAGAAAACCACAGAGAGGCACATTTTTTAATTTATAGAAGCCAGTGGTAAAGAATCTTAAAACAGCCAGAGAATAAAGAACACTACCCAGAGGGAAAAAAATCATAATTTTAACATCAAACTTCTCATCAGTCACAATGAGAGTCAGAATACAAGGGAGTGACATCTTTTATGTACTTCATTTAAAAAAATCTATCAGCTTACTATTTTATACCCTATAAAAACATAGTAGTCCTCCCTTGTAGTTTCAGTTATTCTCAGTCCAAATTATTAAATGGAAAATACTAGAAATAAATACTGTTTAAATTTCAAATTCTGCACTGTTCTGATTAGGATAATGAAATATTTTATGCTGTCCTATTCCACTTGGGATGCAAATCATCCATGTTTTTCAATATATCTATGGTGAATATGTCTATAGCTTCTAATGAATTAGTAGCTTTCTCGATTATCAGATCAATCATCCTAAAAACTAGTGCTTGCATTCTTGTAATAATCTTACTTAATAATAATGTCCCCCATGCATAAGACTAGTGATGGTGGCAATGCATATATATCCAAAAGAAGATATAACATATTCCCTTCAAGGGAAAAGGTAAAAGCTCTCCATAAGAAAAAAAAAAACTATGATGTTGTTGCCAAGATTTATGATAAAAACAAATAGGAAAAAAGCATAGTATATATAGGGTTCAGTACTATACCATGTTTCAGGTATCCACTGACAGTCTTGAAACATGTCCCTCTCAGATAAGGAACTATTACTGTATATCTGGATAATGGGGGTAAGAAAAGACTATTTCAGATTTAAAAAGTCAAAAGAAGTCTTCACCAAAAGAGCAGCATAATAAAGGTTTAAGGAATTTATTCATTCAGACAAAGGGAAAATCACAGAAATTTGGATCTAAGCAAAGGAATTAATAGCTCCAGAAAAGATAAATATGCAGGCAAACTTAAAACACTGCTTTTTACTCTTAATATGTCTTTAAAAGATAATTGGCTAGGGGCTGGGGTTGTGGCTTCGTGGTAGAGCACTTGTCTAGCATGTATGAAGCACTGGGTTCGATTCTCAGCACTGCATATAAATAAATAAAATGAAGGTCTGTTGACAAGTAAAAGAATATTTTTGAAAAAAGATAATTGACTTAAAAATAATCTATGCAGGGATTTTAATATATGTAAAAGAAAACATATAGGCCAAAATTAAAACATAATTATGTAAAGAAGTAATTTATCCAAAAGAAGAAAGGAAAAGAGCAAAAGGGGAATAAATAAAACAATGAAACAAAACCAAAAACAAATAGTAAGACAGTAAATTTAAATCCAGCATTACAGATAATCATATTAAGTATAGATGGTTTAAACACTCTAAGTTGAATCTCTGTAACATACAACTAAGAGTTCTCACTCATACAGTTGGTCAACCAACCAATTATTTGTATTTATTTACATGTTATGTAACATTATGAATATTAAAAAGGTGTGTTACAGGACTGAAGACAATAACAATGTCTTGTAAGTATTAATCCTTCAATAGAAGTATTAGCTAGTAAAAAACACCAAACTTTGTCTAGTGCTCAATTTTAATAACTTATAATATATAATAACTAGGACAATAACTTGAAATGTATAATTACCAGTCATATTAAAACTTCATATAAAAATACATTACTTTTTAGTAGTAATGGTAGTCCTTCCAGAACTGGAGGGTTGAGTATGTGATGAATATATTTCTTGTCTCAACTTTGATAGTTCCTTAAAAATGAAAAACAACATAATCCTTTTTTAAAAAGTAGAAACATGAGTAAGATGTATGCTTGATCATTAAACAAGCTTACTAGGATAATTACCACCCCTTTCCTTTTTAACCTCGAGGCAAAAATGTTCTAATCTCATTTGTTGATTATCATATAATATTGCTTAATGGTATTCGAAAAGTTATATACTTCTGTAGGAATCCACTAATGGAGGTAGGATATCTATATTTTGTGGAAAACTTGAAATTAAATGGGCATAGTTCTTATGATAAGGATGTGAACGTTTTTGTCTTAAAAAGCCTGAAAAATATAGCCAAAGCATAAAAGTATTGATACATCAATATGGAAACACATATAGGTTCCTAATAGTGAATGTTACTATAAGCACCATTGTTCAATAACCACAATATGATATTAGCCACCATTTTGGTTGTTCCCTTTGTACCTATTTTATGCCAGATCCTGAGCTACATACTGAAGATACAGGGAGGAATATAACACAGTCACTTGATGAAGCAGCCCATAATTTAGTAAGAAGCTCACAGTCTTTGAGGGAGTTTCACTGCTAATGAAAAATAAAATCAGTGTCTTAAAAATGTCCAATGTACAATACCAAGCACTTATTTTTGCTTCAGTTCTTTCATTTGAATTATATCTCCTGAAATATAACTCTGCTTTTTCCCATGCATTTCCACATAATAAAGCATGTCTTGGTAATGTATCCTTTTCTAATACCTGGGAAGTGTTTATCCTTTTGGACTGAGTTATATTATTGTTCTTCTACTTTCCTATCCCTTTCTTTCTTTACCTCTGACTGACGTTTTATAAGGGAATCCTTCTCTTCCAGCAAGCTGGTGAGTTCATGAAGCTTGAATTGGAAGTCACTACAACTTCCTTCTCTTCTTGAAACATCTTTTTGGTACTGGTTTAACTGGGACTAAAGATATAGAAAGAAGTAAATATTATTATAGCCCTTATTTATAAAGTGTATTACTGAGCTCCAGAATAGTTTTAGTTACACAGTCACACAGCTAGTCATGAATGAAAATACTAATAATTACAAACTTCCATAGAAATTTGTAAATATAAAAAATAAAGGCATTTTTCTTTTTTTCTTTCCTTTTCTTTTTTTTTCCTTTTGGTACTAGGGATTTAACCCAGGGGCACTTAACCACTGAGCCACAACCAAAGCTCATATTTTTATATCTTTATTTAGAGACAGGGTCTTGCTGATTTGCTTTGTACCTTGCTAAGTTGCTAAGGCTGGCTTTGAACTCATGATCCTCCTGCCTTAGCCTCCCAAGATGATTGAAGTTACAGGCATGCATCACTGCCCTGGCTCATTTTCCACTTTATCACTTATGTGTACATAGGTGACTGTTTGGTTAAAGTTAGTAATGTTGAGAAGACAAGGAGAAAACCAGTGGAGGAAATCTGGTTATCAGTATACTTTTTAGAAAATTATGTTTTGTTTCATTTTGATTTTTGGTAAAGATCATAAGTGATATTTGAAAAGGAAAAATCTTTCATCATTTTGTTCATTAAGAAATTAAAGTATATTTGAGAATATTTAGGAATCAATATATTATGGGATATATTAAGTCAATTCAACCTAGAATTAAAAGGTAAGTCACTATACATTTATTGCAAATACTCTAATTTTATTATAATTATAGGCAAATAAAACTTAATATCATTTTTATCATTGTGCTTGACAAAGTCTTTGATATTTATCATCTCTCAGTGTTCAGGGATGATTGTATAAATTCAGTTATGGCTTTGCTAGATAATCTTGAATATTTCTCTTGCCTGTATAAGCATGCTATAAGCAAGATCATAGAGTGCTCCACCTATCCCCCCAAAACACATTGACAAATACCCAACACAATGAATTAATATTTCTTTTACTATGCTAGAAGAGATGAAGCAGAATTAGAAAACAATTAAACAATGATATTTTATGCATGATGATGTAAACTTAAAAGGTTCTATGACATATTCATAAAACTTTATCTTCAGTTGATTTTTCCTTGTGAGCTTAAACTTGAAACTATCATTGTGATAGAAAATACATGTTGACCTGTGTATTATGAAATATAGGATCAACATACCCTTAGCTTGCAGATCTCTCTGTCTTTCTCTACTCGCAAGTTTTTAACCATCTCCATGTAATGGTTGCCAATCTCATCCATTTTAGCCTGCAGCATCGGGCCTGTGCAAGTCTCAGAAACCTACACAAGATGAAATAACTTTTCATAATTGGATTGTTGTGAAGGAAATACATATTATGTTTTAAAGATTACTATTACATGAAACCATATGATTAAATATGACATATAAATAATGATAGTGTTTTTCAGAAACTGTTTTAGAAAGCTCAAATATCACTTTGATAAGAACTATGGTTATCAGAAAGCAATCTACACACTTTCTCAAGATGAACAGGAAGGAAGGAAGGAAGGAAGGAAGTGTTGTGGTGTGAACTGATAAACAAAATCAATAAGAGTGTAAGTTATAGGTTAGTAACAAATATAGATAATAGATTTAAGGTTTTGATAAGTGAGATAAGATGATTATAAAGCAAGAACTGTCACAGATAGTCCTAAGACTCCATTTTGCTGCCTTCTATAGAAAAACTGTTACAAGAACTGTTTCTAAGAAAATAAAATGAAAGCTGTTTTCTTATAATATATTGATTTCTGTACTTTGTATCCCACAAAATGTACTCAACCCAGGATATGGTGGTCTTGGTGACCCAAGACTTTGAAGTAGATTCTCACCCTTGCTAACCACCTGCTCAAACTCAGGATATGGTTGTCTAACAACTGCTCAAACCCAAGACACGATTGTTAAGTTGCTGTGCTAATTGCTGTCTTAGCTTCTATGATTGGCTTGCTTGGATGACACTAAGGAAAGTCCTTGAGCTGTGGTTTTCTGCCTTAAATTCCCAAGACAAGGGCCAGGAAATGGCTGTTCTCCCACGGAGCTTCAGTCTCTATGGGTGGGTGACAGTCCCTGGCCAGGTAAATAAAGCTCTCTTTGATTTGAATTTGGACTTAGAATGTTTTCTGAAGTGGTTCCTCATAACGGAAGGAAGGAAGGAAGGAAGGAAGGAAGGAAGGAAGGAAGGATGAACAAGATAAATGTTACTATTGCAATGCTAGAATTACACTGATATAACTAATGCAATTTTCCAACTTTAAAACAAAAAAATTAATACCTGCATTCTAAGGTTTTTATTCTCTTGCTCCAAATTACGTTTACAATATTCCAGTTCTTTTACTCTGTATTCCATGTCTGATAATGTATGTCGAAGAGAAAGATTATTTTCTTCCAATGCCTGACATTTTGAGCTTGAGTCTTGAAGTCCCTGCTATAAGGAAGACACAAGTGCATAAGATAAATCTATTTGCAGTGAAATATTCTTTTAATCAGTTCATTCCATCAAATCAAGCAAATATTTTCCCATCCTCATTTTGTTATATTATTTCCCTTAGATGATATGTTAAATCAGCCATGTAAGACATTAGTCTTGCTCCTATTCTCAATTACCTATTTTTAGTGAAAATGAGTCAAGGCTACATGAATTTTTGGTATCCCAAGTCAGTAATAAGATTTTTGGTACTCTTTGATAATATTTTATCTTGACTTCTAGTAAGCATCAAAATGATGATGTACCTAATTATTTATATGACAACTACCAACTGAGCAAGAATTTAGAACAGTCATGAGGGTTATTAGGAAGGAGTAAGCCTTAGAGACTCAAAATGGTCTCTTAGAAATTATCTTTACTCAGATATCAGGAGAAATCTTCTACAGTTCATTCATTCTCTTATTATTCATTGCACAAACACAAGGTAAGATCTACAAAAGCTTTTTTCACATTAACACATTAGTAGATTAAATGAGTGAGTGAGTGAACCTAGATTTTTAGTATTCATATAATTCTTGTCACTCAAAAATACAGATAATTTTGTACTTTATATATTGTATGCCTAAAATATATAAGGTTGTCTTTTCTAAAACCACTCAATTCTCATATAAAAATTGTTTCATCATATATTAATTCTGTCTGAATTGTATCTCATAATTCTAATGTACTAGTCTTGTACACATAAAAAACTATCAATCTAGTTTATCACCAACAAAAATATAAACTTACTTGCTGCTGACGATTATTTGCTCTCACTGATGCCAAGAGTTCTTCATACTCTTTTATTTGAGTTTCTTTGAATGCCACATCCTTCTCAAGTCTTATCTTGTCATTTTCCAGTGACTAGAACCATAAATTATTTATTATGATTCAGAATAACATAAGCTTGTCAACAACCATATAATACAAAGACTTGTCTACATTAGAAGATTTAAATAATCTCTTGTTTCATTTGTAATTGCTTGATAAAGCAGAATTATTAAAAGTTAAGCAAAGTGTGGTATAAACAAGATTGAAACATTCAAAACCCATATTGAAAAGGATATGTTGATGGACTAACTCTAAGTGCAATGAAGCAGAACCTTTTGAATTATTCTAATGTTTTTATCCAAACTGCAAAGACTCCTTGTTAATCCCAGCAGGTGGTGAATTTTCAAATTAGAGACTAACTACATTCATTAGAATGAAGAAACAAAAGAAAAACCACTTCAAAGTCCTCAAGGAGTTATTCATTGTAAGGAAATCATTCTGAATGTATCTAGTTGATGGCACCAAGAACACAGATTAAAATAGAAAATAGAACAGGTTAAGTTCTTAGAGAAACAAGTTTTTAAACTGTTTTGTTTGAAGAGAAAATCAGAGTATGCTTTATTATTAAGAAACGGAGAAATTCCTATTAAATGAGTCAGATTATTCTAATATTGTTGGCTACTCCCTGGTTTTCACCATTAAATTACCCTTAGTAGTAAACTAAATAATAAATGCATATTCAACATTCTTTCAAACTGGACATTACATGTTATACCCTTTTTTCCTTTTCTAAAACTAATTTAACTATTTTGAGAAAACCTTAGCTATGTCCGGGTAAGCATAATATTGCTGTGTTGTACTGAATTTTAAAAAAGTGTACTGAATGTCTTCATTTCTATGGTAGGAAGTGAAGAATTAGAAGTGGCTTAGGAAAGAAAATTAAACATAATTCTTACGGTCAAGTCATTTTGAAGATGTCCAAGCTCCTCACGTATATTGCTGAATGTGGACAGCACTAGCCTGAGTGACTTATCAGACATACCCCTCATCTGGAGGAAGAAAATAATTCATGGTTGATTTTTATTAACATTCAAAAATAGGCAATATAAGTGAAAGTAATCTTATTTTTCTGTTCCTACCAGTAAACTTATTTATAATTTTATTTTGGACATGACTGTATTAGAATAGTGATGCAAGACATTTTTTTTCAATAATGTGCTTAAGCAGTCCCAGCAGTATTCCTTAAAAGATCATAGCCAGGTATTGTGAACAAGGGGTTTTTTTTATGTCTTATATCACAAAGTATCACCTTTCTTACAAGGTAGAATTCTATCAATTTTTCTTTCTTTTTTAAAAAATTAGAAAACATAAGAGAATCAACCTTCAAGTAATGAAATTAAATTTCCTATGTGTGATTCCAAGAGCACATATTTTCCTAAATTAAGAAGAATTTAATAATAATTAAGTTTAAATTTGAAGTGCAGGATCATCTTTAATTATAAAGAAGAAGGAGAAAAAAGCCTTTCACTAAATTATTTTCATTTATTTAAAGAAAATATATTTTTTAAAATAGCAAATTCTCCTTTATCTGGAAAGATAAAGGAGAAATACCTTTCCCTAGTCCTCTTACTAAGTACACTAGAAACCCTAGATATTATATATAAAACAAATATTTAAAAGCTCAGAATGGTGAAAAGAATGTTTAGTACATTTGGAACTGAGGGATGACACATTGAAATCTTGGATTTTATTTTGTTTTATATGTCATAGACTGGTGTTTGGAAAACAGGTAATCCAAATATACCAATGGATATGGGGAACAAATGTCCTAAGAAAAGCCTTTTTTCAATAGCCAAAGGTTCATGAAAGGACAGGAGGGCTAAGAAGACAGAAACTTTAAGTTGATAACCCTTGACTGTAGCAAAATACAACAGGAAAAAATTTTTAACACTACCCTCACCCAAACAAGAAAAGCTGAGAGTGAAACCTGGACTTCCTCCATCATCAGGCTCTAAAGAGGCATACCAACATCACTCATTAGGTTGGTATCAATAAAGGTAGGATAGAGAGATGAGTCTTTCATCTTAGATGGGGAAAAATGAAATTCCAAGCACTGTTGTATCAGTTGATATCATGAAGTGAGCTTAGGCTTTCATCCTATCATATCAAGAAAGGATGAGTAGAGAATCCTAGACATCTTCCTTTTCCAGCTGGCTTTGACAGTGCCTTGACTTCCTCTGGTGTTTCAGTATCAGAGATATTCTACTAGAACAGAATATTTGAATAATATCCAGTGTCATGGTACCAAAAATGGACAGATTTCAACTGAAAATCTCTTACCATTTCAAGAACAAGGAATATCTCAATTCAATAAGATAAACAATCTATGCCTACATCAAGATAACTGAAATGTTAGAACTGCCTGACAAGGTTTTTAGGCAAGCATTCTAAAATGCTTCAGCAGAAAACTACAAACAGACTGAAGCAAACAAAAGTAACCATGTCTCAACAACAAACTAGAAAGTCTCAATAAAGAAATAAAAAAATATAAAGAATGAAAAAGGATCTGGGAATAGTAGGGCACATCTGTAATCTCAGCAACTTGGGAGACTGAGGCAGGAGGATGACAATTTTAAAGCCAGCCTTAGCAACTTACAAGGCCCTACACAACTTAGTGAGATGCTGCTTCAAAATAAAAAATTAAAAAAATGGACTGGGGCTATGTCTCAGGGGTTAAGTGCCCCTGGATTCAATCCCCACTACAAAAAAAAAAAAAAAAAAAAAAAAAAAGATAAAAAAGGAAAATTTTAAAACTGAAAAGTTCAATAAGCAATCAAAACAAGCAAAAACAAAACAACCCTCAATGGATGGAATAAGAAGTAGAATGTGGAGGACAGAGAAAATAATGGGTAAATTAAAAGATAAAAGAAACAACATAAACCGAGTAGCAGAGAGAAAATAGAACAGAAAAGTAACTGAATAGAGCCTAAGAAACTGGGGGAGTATAATACATATCTACTATTCATGTAACTAGTGTCTGTAATGAAAGAAGAAAAAGCATAGAACTGACCAAATCTTCAAATAATACCTAATTTCCCCTAAATTAGCAAAACCAATATATATATATATATAGAGAGAGAAACAAGTTTTTAAACTGTTTTGTTTGAAGAGAAAATCAGAGTATGCTATATATATATATATATATATATATATATATATATATATATATATTCCAGAACCTAAACAAATCCCAAACAAAATAAAACCAAAGAAATCCCTGCCAAGACCAATCAAACTTCTTAAAACTTAAGACAAATAGTTCGAAAGCTGCACAAAAAAGCCTTAACTATTAGGAAAATTAATTAAAATAATAGTAGACTTTTCATCAGAAACCATGGAGGCCAGTAGGAATTGGCACACTATATTTGTAAATGCTAAAATTACAGAACTGTTAGCTGCAAATTATGTATCCAATGAAATTATTTCACTTTAGAGATGAATAGAAAAATCACAGAATTTTCAGATGAAAAAAAATGAAAATAATTTGTCAGTAGGCAACCTACCCTAAAAAAACAAAAAAGCTAAAGGAATTTTTGTAAAGAGAAGAAAATATTAAACAAGGGATTGCGACCGTTAATATAGGGGAAAAAAACCTTGAAAAGTAAAATAAATATAAATAGAATATGCTTTCCATTTGTTCAGTTTTCTAAATTATGTTTGGTAGTTGAAACAAAAAATTATAACAATAAATTTTTGATGTATATATAGAGGGACTATTTCAGACAATAATTTTATAAATGTGAAAAAGAAAGAAACATAAAGGAAGCAAAGTTTTCTACAGTTTTCTTAGCACATATCTTGATCTGTGGTCCCTCATTTAATTATAGGGGAATTTATTGATCGGTTTCTCTAGTATTCCACAACTCAAGAAAAGCAAGGCACTGGCCTTTCAGCCTCTCAGTATCTGTGGTTGGGGAGACGATGGAATTGAGAAGAGGAAGGCAAATACACAGTGTAAGTCAGATTTGTACTAAAACACTAAAGAGTGATTAAAGGCATTCCATAGCAGAAAATATTATTTCTGGAATGATTACCTAAATGTTAATCATTCAATAATAGTTTCTGATGGTCTGACTGAACTATCATGCAACCCTAATTAAATACTTTTATCTTTTATGCTTTTTCTTTTTTATACCCATATCCAAAAAATAATCAACTCCTGTGGAATATGGTTTTATTTGGGATTTTCTTTTCTTAATTAAGGGAGGCATCCTAAGGTGTAGTTTATTAGTGCCTATCTCAAACTCCCACCCTGAACACATCTCACCTGTAGAATATAGCGAATTTGCTGTTTTGTAAACTCTGACAATCCTTTAGGAATCAATGATTCAATGTCTTCTGACTGTAAGAAAAGAGAGATTTATACATTGACCACAGTAGTTTTTTAATCTTAGGGTCAGTAGTACACAGACTTTTGTGAAGTAAGGTACATTTTTAGGGACATTAAAAAGTAAATTCACTTTTTGATAAATAGTTTCCATAAACTGCATATTTGTTCTTATCAATTCTTACTTTAAAAAATCAATTATATAACTTAGGCATGGAAAGAACCCTGATTTCTAGGCATTTTTACCAAAAAGCTTTGGTCAACCAATAAAACATTTAATTTCTATTTTGAAAAGTAATTTAAGGATAGGGATGGAGCTCAATGGTAGAGTGCTTGCCTAGGGAAAACAAGGCCCTGGGTTCAATTCTCACAACTGAGAAAAAAAAAATTAAAACAAAATGGTCTAGACATCATTACCCTAAGTACATGTATGAAGATATGAATGGTGTGAAAATACTTGGTGTACAGTGACTTGAAGAATTGTGCTCTATATATGTATTATGAAATGAATTGCATTCTGCCATCACGTATAACACATTAGAATAAATAAATAACTTTAAAAACCAAAATGGCCTATTAAATTCCATTAAACATGTTATTTAGTATAGCTTTCTACAAGTATAAGTTTTGTTGGGTGATATGACATTTTAGAAGCTGAATTTTTTAAAAATATTTTTGTAGTTGTAGATGGACACAATACTTTTATTTCACTTATTTATTTTTATGTGGTGCTGAGGATCAAACCCAGTGCCTCATACTTGCGAGGTAAGCGCTCCACCACTGATTCACAATCCTAGACTCAAAGCTGAATTTTTAAATAATGAAACTTTGGAAAATAAAACTAAAGGTATTTCAGGGTTTAATTGAGAAGTTACACAGAGCTACAGTGACTTTTGAGAGATTAAGGTGTTACCACAGCAACAGTGGGAAGCTTCAACTAATTTTAAGTGAGAAGCTGAAGTGAAGTGCCTTTTTAAAGGCAATTTAGGACTTACTGAATTATTGTAATGAATTCAGTATGCCAATGCATTGAAAATAAAAAAAATAACACAAAAGAAGTGATTGGGCTTTTTATTGCACTGAAATCAGTTCTTTCTCTTATTTGATTATTTATTCCATTACAAGAAATTATTAACAAAATTGCATATGTAATAGAATTAATACTCAAATAATTGTTACTTTGAGTTGCTGGCACATACAAGGTTTTCAAATATATTGAAATTAAATTTACTATTTATTTAATTTTGTAGATTTCACTTTTCTAAAGGAGACAGTATAGGGTTAATGTAATTTTAAATGTTCTGATAAGCAAAGAAAAACCCTAACGTGACTGCTGAAAGAACTTTTTTTGTGTGTGAATTATGACTATTTTTATAGCCATTACAAAGGTCTAAATAGCTACATCATTTGAAAGGAAAAATAATTATTTCTTTCAACACTTGTGTTTTCAGTCTAATTAAAGTTCTAAACTAAAAGAATATTAGTGCAAATATTGAAGCCTACTTTGTTATCTACTATGTTTTCTTTTTATCTATTTTTGTACTTACTTTATCTGTAGACTCGAAGTCCTGTTTGCTGCAAGAATAATAAACAAAAGAGAATCTTTAGAAAATGCATTCACTGATAGATAATACATAAATGCTACTATTTCATTAGTTTATTTTTTAATATATTGTAATAGTACTGATTCAATTTATAACCCAAATGAAAAATTTGAAACTATCTAAAATGGCATTTTTAGTTTGGCTAATAATTTCCCTTTAATTAGCTAATCTATTAAAAGCATCAACATCAGAATACCAAAAAAAAAATAAATAAAATTTACAGAATTGGTTAGTACTCTATCCATTAACACTAGTCCATTTGACGCTAAATGTAGAAGTCTTCAGTGCTTGCCAATAAATGCTACTCAGTGAATAAAATAGCAATAATAGGTTTTTTATCTCTACCTCCACCTCCCTCTTTTATTGCTCCTGATCAGTGATGATAGGAGCTTCTCTCTGCAGTGTTTAAGTTCCTCATATCCTTTTTATCAAAATTAAAATTTGAAAGACAATACTAACTCATTCATTTTATATGTATTTTATACAACAGTAATGAGCTTGAAAGTATTTGAATCTTTACATACGATAAAACCTTCAACAAAGTGATCAAAATTTTGGTGGGATGATAGAATTTCTAGCATCAAAATGAGACTTTGGCCAGTGGATTTGAAAAACCCTTAGCAGGGCACTGTTAACTAGGCAAATGCTTCAGGAGAATTGTTAGTAGTTATACTAGACTGGTACTAGCTCCTTCGGGAATGGTGAAAACTGGAAATGATACAGTTCTAGTGTTGTCAGGGGCAACAGATAGACTTTTATTTTTATGTACTTGCTACCTCTGCACTTGGTGGAAGAATTTGGCAAACATACATATGGTGAATATACTTCTCAAACAAAGGAACAGCAGTGACAACAACAAAAAACAGTATATATGTTCTGACATGAAGACAGAATTTATTAAATACAATTTTATTATATTAATACCTATATTTACCTTTTAAGTAATTGCTTATTTGTAACATACTGCTTATAGAGATAAGTAGGTTGCTCGCTCTGTAAAATCTCTTACATACATTTACAAAAATATACAAGCTAGTACAGAGAAAAAGATCTAAAGGTTCCATTTCCCAAGGTATGACAATATATGTGCAATTATCTGCACGTATGTATATGGTATTTCCTGTGTTGTCTAAAATAGAAATTGTGGGGAGGACCTAGCCAAAAAAATCTATTTTTAAGTTGTTTCATTATACTAACTGCATGTATATATTTGAAGCTAAAGCAAGTTAAAATCATGAATCACAATTCAGTTTCAGGAGTCTTGAATTAATGTTAATGGGAATTATGATAATATGAATTTTAAAATAATAATTCTTCTTTCTTCCTATTCCAATGACAATTTAGTATTCATGTTCCTAGTCACTCACTTCCATAAGTAAGAAAACAAAACCAATGAACAAAACAAGGATCAATAATAGTATTTAATATTGGAAATTTAGAAAGTAATTAGAATGGGTCCTTGAGAGAACCTTCCTTAATTCTGAACTTGCACCCACTCATTGCTGAACTCTATTTTGGAAAGAGAAAAAAAACTGGAGACAGAAGGAGGAGGGACACAAGGAGAAGGTGAGTTAAATTTGGGTTAATTAGTTATACATGACAGGGGAATGCACTTTAATACATCATATATAATGGGGTATAATTTCTCATTGCAACTATTTTTTTAAATGTTTTTATTTTAAAGACAGAGTCTTGCTTAGTTCCTTAGGTCCTTGCTAAGTTGGTGAGGCTGGCATTCAACTTGTGATCCTCCTGCCTTGGCCTCCTGTGTCACTAGGATACAGGTACATGCCATCACTCCCAGCTTAAGTACCCTAATTCTAGATCCACAGTTCATATCCTAGGTTCATATTTCAGCTTTTATTACATACCAGATATTTAATATCCAGTAATTTGTCTAATCTCTATGTCTCAGTTTATTCAATTAAGTTTTATTCTAGTTAACTATATTCCAACTTTATTGTCTCATACTAATTATAAGTACAAAAAGTAATTAAGCAAGGGGAGTTAGATTATTTCATAATTAGTAAACACCCCAAGATAAATAAGGTCTTGTAAAATTTTGGTACCCAAGAGTTTCTGCTTGTCAGAGGTTATCAGTTTCTTTGTCTTCATTCCTCCTCCTCCTTCAATCTTTTGTTCCTCCCAACTTTTGTTTCTTTTTCATTAAATTCCTTCTTTCCAGAAGGTAAGATAGCATATAGTGAGTGCTACTTTGTTTTCTTTTTCCACCTAGTGCAATTCCAGCTATTATCCCCCAGTGCAGAAGGAGATATAATACATAATGACATTTCTGTCTCCCTAATTTACTCTTTGTTTCCACCTTCTCCTTGTGTCCCTCCTCCTGTATTCAATTTTCTTCTCTTTCCAAGAGGATCACCTAGATCCAAATTAGGATCTAAGGAAAGGTTATCAGAAAAGCTAAGTCATAATTTATAGGTGAAAAATTACTCAAAAATTATTGAATCCATCTCAGGCCCTTAGTAGCTACATGAACTTGGTTAAAAACTTACTGTCTTTGGGTTTCCATCTGAAATTTTATTGGGTTCAATAATATAAATAAAGCACTTTGTACAATGCCCCAGACATAATGGACACTCAATAAAATAATTGATTATAGAAACTTGGGGAAGATTTTTAAGGTAGTGAACTTGTGTGAAGTGATAAATTTATGAAATAGTCGTTTGCATAATGGGATAAAGGGATAATTGTTCAGGCAATGGGAGAAGGTATTAATCACGATAAAATGAAGATGTAGCTAAAGATGAAATAATTCATTATAATGGAACCAGTTCAAACAAATAGCTGTTTTTTTTTTCACTAAGAGTGATCAACTATATGGTATGACAGTAAAGAATGCATTCATCCATTAAATAAATCATTTACTGAGCACCACAAGTTAAGGTTTAGATATGAGGCATTCCTAAAAGGTTATGAATAAGTCAACACAAGAATTGTAGGCAGGTGGGGAGTAGATGAAGGAGGTAGGTCATTAGGAATATGCCTTTAGGGTATATACTTTGTCCTGGATGAGTGATGCTCTCTGTTTCCTGATGGCTTTGTCCTGAACTACTTTTCCTCCTCCCCAACTTTCCTCCATGATGTTCTGCTTAAAATGGAGCAATGGAGTCAATTGTCTATGAACTGAGATCTCTGAAACTAGGAGTCCCAAATATAATTTTCCTCCTCTAAAATTGTACTTGTCAGGTCTTTTGGCAACAGCAGTGAAAATGCTGACTAAAACAACATTAAACCAATTACTATGTTAAACAACAAGGACAATGAGGTAAATAAAACTGTTCTCATCAGGCTCTCTGAATTTTAGGGATAGTGAATGTTGGGTGTGGGCTGATGAAGGGAATGGTAAAAGGAAACAACATATAAGGCAGAGAGCTAGACTGATCCAGAGTTACAATTTTTCTAAGTAGGAAGGCCACCTAAATAAGAAGGAAAAGATGAAGATAATGGTAAGGTTATAGTCACTATTCATGATAGATTAGGAAGAAGGGAGACAAAAAATAGAAAAGATATGGAAAAAAAGATTAAAAGAGACTATACAGCAGGAAGAAAAATATTTTTGGCATGTACAAATAAATATTAATATGTATTTGTTAGTAACAATGTATACAAAATGGCATATATGGTGTCATATCATATGTGTTAATTGCATATATTGTATACAATTATATATTGTAAAAATCATGTCTAAGAAGTAGAAGGATCTAGGTAATAAAAAGTCTGAATTGAAAAAAAACTATTGCTTTTTTCTTATCTTCTGGATTATTTTGAATTTAAGGAGCTTTTATAGATTTTGCCTGACATTCGGTCACATACATGCTGTGATTAAAAAATAATAGGCAACTTTGGAGGTACAATCTATAGAATTCATTTTATGACAATATGCTCTCATTTATACATGAATAGTTGATAAACTATTAATGCATGTTTTAAATATATGTAATTACGTATCATGATGTATAATACTTTATATGTATTTATAAATAGGTATTTATAATTCACATTCATATGTAATATAAAATGTAGAAAATTAGTATAATGTATACCATTTATATGTACTATATAATGTATTAAATATACATTGAGCACTGGCCTCCATTTATTGAGCACACATCATAGAAGATATACAGTGGTGTGTTGGCAATGGGACTATACCTTGTTTCATACATGTAATATCTTAAAACAAGTCATAGAATAACATTCATTTTATGTTAACATTTAAAAATTATAAATATTTATGGAGTTCCACATAATGTTTCAATACATGTGTACATTTCCTAACATTTAAATCAGGTTAAACTTATGCATCTTTTCTTCTTTTTAGTTGTCAATGGATCCTTATTTTATGTGATGCTGAGAATTGAACCTAGTGCCTCACACATGCTATGCAAGCGCTCTACCACTGAGCCACCACCCCAGCCCAAAACTTACCTATCTTATCAAACATTTACCATTTCTTTATGGTAAACAAAAAATTAAAATCATTTTTTCTAGATTTTTGAAAAGTACACTACATTATCATTATCTAATAGTCACCCTACTGTGAAACAGCACAGCAGAACTTCTTGTTTCTATTCATCTGTTACTTAGTACCCAATGATCAACCTTTCCCCATCCCACATCACTACTGTCCTCAACCTCTGGTAACCCCTAGTATAATTTCCACTTCTATTGTGAGAAGAATTTCTTATATGAAATGGAGTCTCAGGGTAAAATGGAATCTGTTTGGTCATTGTCCATATAGCCTGGCCCATAACATTATGAGATCAACATATTTAGTTTCTACATATGAGTGAGACCATACAGTACTTGCATTTCCATTCCTAGCTTATTTAACTTAATGATCTCCACTTCTATCCATGTCATCAAAAGTGGTAGTATTTAGTTCTTTTATATAGCTAAATAATATTCCATTGTGTTCATGTACCACAATTTTTTATCCATTCATCAGTTGATAGATACCTATGTTGCTTCTATTTCTTGACTATTTTGAGTAGTGCTACAATGAACATGGGAATGCAGATGTCTCTTCAACATACCAAATTCATTTTCTATGGACATATACCTGTGTGTGGGATTGTTGGATCATATGTCAATTATGTTTTCAAATTCTGAAAGAATTTCCATGGTATTTTCCACCTTAGTTGTACTAATTTGCATTCCCATTACCCAGTGTATAAATGTTCCCTTTTCTCCAGCACTTTTTATTTTTTTTTTCAACATATCATATATATTTTTTAATTTTTTCCCCAAGAATTTGCTTTTGCTGTCAAAGTATACTACAAAAAAGCACACAAAATATTTTGCTAATCTTAAAAGGATTAGTGTTATTTTTGATGCTTTTCATAATCTGTATTACTTTTTTAAAAATGAGACATCTACTCAGCTTTACTAACAGTTGCCAATTTACACATTAAGAGTATAAAAGTCCTGCCATGAACATAAAACTGCTTTTTTAAAAAGTCTATTAAAATACAATAATGTAGTAAAATATTTGATAGCTACAATGTCAAAGCAAAAAATATGTTTATATTACCTTCCTCCAATTCTCTGCAAATGTTCTAATAAGCAATGATACAGATCTGTATTCTTACGGCTTAGGTCAGCAAGCAACTCTCCAAAATATTTGGGATCCAGTTTTTCAGGGCCATCATCCTGAATTATCACCTAAAACAAACATCAACAGCAATTATATAAAAAAATATTATGTTTTTCTAAATTCACACATATTGTGATATAAAATGTAAAAAGTAAAATGACCTATTAATGTTATCACATGAATTAAGCCCTAAATTTTCTTTATATCTGAGTTATCATTTTTTCCATAGGGAAGAAATTTAAAGAAAAATTAACACAGCAATAACATTCAATCTCATTGCACTCAAGTCTACATGATCTAATGAATGCGAAACTTGAATAACAAATACTGAATATAGACTTAAATAAAACAGTAAAATAAGTAAATAATCTCTGAATTTCTTATTATCACCACTTGGCTTTCTCATCTGCCTCCTATGAGAAAAGAAAATGTGATATTTGACTTATGCTGACTATAGAATAATTATTTTCATTTACACATACATATTTTCAGTGAAATCCAGCTTGGTTTACCAGTATATCATAAAGTTAGACTAAGAAAATTTATGTTATTCAATGTGCTTTATGTGTTTCTTGTTAGACTCTCTCCTTTTATTATTTGGAGTGAATATATAGTCAATCTGACATGGAAAAGAGTAGTTCCTGGTCAAGTGTTGAAAATTCATGGACCTAAGAGATAACTGAAATCCTAGACAAAAATTATTATGTATAGTGTCCTAAATAAGACATAATTTATTGGTTTCATATCCATTACTGCCATCCTTTGGGTAAACCTGTAAAGTCAGTATTATCACACAGAAGGTTTAAATGTCATAGAATTTATAAATAGTGCATAAATTCTATGCACTATGATATATAAAAATACAAATAGTCCATAGATCTATGTTTGAATGTTTAATATAACCCATTTTTTAAAATTTTATTCAAGTTTTGTTTTATTTATTTATTTTTGGTACCAAGGATTGAACAGGGGCAGTAAACCACTGAGCCATATCCCCAACCCTATTTTGTATTTTATTTAGGGTCTCACTGAGTTGCTTAGCGCCTTGCCATTGCTGAGGCTGGCTTTGAACTTGCAATTCTCCGTCTCAGCCTCCCGATCTATAATATAATACTTTATAATGCTTACATGAACCTAGCAACTTAGTAACAATTTTTGTTTCCCAACAACCTCTCTGTTCCCATCATATCATGCTATTCCTGCCTTTGGATCTTTACTTGCATTGTTGATTGCTTAGAATATGCTCTATCCTTCTTTTGTGTGTTCAAATCTTACCTATCCTTTGAAACCCATCCCAAGATTATTAGCTCCTTGAAAATTGAGACTATGTCAATCAACAAGGCTAATTTAATTTTTGCTCTTTTGTGTTCAATTGTCTTGAATATTTTTTATACATTTTTAAAATACTTTTTTTAGTTGTAGATGGACAAAATATCTTTATTTTTATTTGTTTATTTTTATGTGGTGCTAAGGATAGGACCCAGGGCCTCATGCACGCAAAGCAAGAGCTCTATCACTGAGCTACAACCAGCCCAATGTTTTTGTACTTTTTAACACATACAAAGTCTTGTTCTCTCAGCACCCTCTCCCTTCCCCAAAATAAATTTTAAAAACTTAGCAGTAAATAACACATCATAGTTTTTGGTATATCCTATAGTATTTAGCACAATACTGACTAAACATTCTATAGCTACTTAGTAAGTACTTGTTGAATAGAAAGAATGTATCTGCCTGATTAGAAGTGATCCAGATTCTGAAAGGATTTTTTTACAGACTTCTCTTAATGCATCCAATAAGAATGTTTAAAAAAATCAAAAAGAGTGTAGGCAGAACTTCTTCAAGAATATCATTGTGACCCCCAAACCTTCTTCTGAAGTTAAAATGGAAGAGCTACTTAGTTGCTGCAACTAAACTGAAATTGTAGAGTTAGAGGCTGACACTATAGTTCTCCTTAGACTTCAAACTCTGAGCCATCAGATCCTCCATCACAGGCCCCTCTCAGGAAATGAAGGTCAAAACCAGCCAAGTCCCTATTTGAAGTAAGCTTAAATACTTAAATGTTTATTTTGTATTTTATGCATGCATTTCCCCTTATTGATCATCTATATTTTAATCAAACTGAGAGTAGCCTAAAAATATCGTCTCAATATGATTTTAAAAATCAAAATTAGCTAGATAAGAGGGTATCTTAGACTGTTTTCTTGGGTAACTTAAATACCTGAGGCTGGGTATTTTAGAAAGAAGACTTTATTAGATTTGCAGTTCTGTAGATTCAAGAGCATGGTACCAGTTATCAGTTCAGGTTTGGTGACAGCTTCATGGCAAATGGCATCAGAATATTGGTAGTATGTAACAGAGTGATTACATGATGAAGCAGGAATCCAGAACAGGGGAAGGGGTCATACTTGCTCTTTTCAGAACAACTCTTTCGGGAGAACTAATTCAAGGTCCCACAAGAATTACCTTAATTCTTTCTGAGGGTGATACCCCAAAAACTTAACCAACTCCCATCAGCTTTGCCTCTGAAATATCTCATGCAGCATCACCACACTGGGGATTAAAGCTTCCAACACACAAATTTTGGGGGTAAAAACCACGTCCAAATCATGGCAGAGATTGAAAATCTAGGCATCATATGTCACTCCATTTATCTTGAGGATATTTTCTTTGCAGTAACTGGCCCCAATTCATCTCTCATCTCCCCATGTGTGTCCCTTCCAAGATGACAAATTTTCCAAGCAGAACAGGACATTTTTATAGCCAAGAATATTCAAGTGCCAAGTGTCTCTTCTAGAAGTTCCAAACAATTAATTGCATATGTTTAGTATTTGGCATAATGTTCTCTCAGCTGATAATATTTCTCCTAATGCTATGAAAATCATGTTTATCTTCCATTTGAATCATTGGAAAGAGTAATTTCATAGTTGCAAATAATTCTTAAAATATTTGCTTTTGTGTATAAATATTCTCTTGTCATTGTGCTGCACATTGGTAGACTTTAGGTGCATAATTCTTTCCCACATGAATCATTAGTGCCATTAATAAAATTTTGCTTATGTAATTTCTGTGTGGTGGATTTAAGCACTCAAAGAATCACAAAGGCCAAGACATGAAATGACTTAGATCAATATTTTATCTATGTTCAAAGCTAGATAGAGGTATTAGAAGCTTTTAAACAGAAACAATTTTATTACAAGAAAAGATAATTATAAGTAATATTTATTCAGTTCTTAACTATGTGTTCCAGGCACTGCACATGCACTTCACATACAGATTAAATAAGGTAATGCTTCTCACTACATACTTTGTTGCCACTACACTATATTGCTTTCCCAAGTGACCTCGATTATTTGTTTTCTTGGTTACTTTGGAATTGCACTATCCCTAAGTGTATTACTTTGGAGGTGAGTTGGGCTAGGACTTGCAACAGTAAGGAGTTTTCTTTTCTCAGAGGAAAACTATGCAAAATATGCCTGAAGTTCAGGCAATAAATTTTATTCAGCTAGAGAAAAGGTAAGAGGATTAAAGTTGAAGAATGAATTATTATATTAAAAGAAATGTCACAGTAGAGAAACCAGAAGAAAAATTCACTCTTATGTGAATATATTTCTTGTCATTTTTTAGAATTTATGATTAATAATAATAATTAAGTAAAACTCAGTAGAAACCAAAACTCAGTTGGGTTCAAAATTTTGGAGTTGTGAGAACAGAGGAATTCAGATTCTCACCTAGTGTTAAGTGTTTAATAAGACTAGTACTCAAGAATAAAATGAAATTTCCTAATCACAAAGTGTTAGCCATTTTTTGCGTTACTAGATCACAAATTCTTAGAATGTCTAAATGTTATTGGAATTGTTTGTGAGTGAGTTTTGGCATAGCTTTTATTTTTTAGTTTTTTTTTAAAGCATATGGACATATACCTTTATTTTATTTATTTTTATATGGTGCTGAGGATCAAACCCTCACACTTCCAAGGCCAGCACTCTTACCACTGAGCTACAACACCAGCCCTGGCATAGCTTTTAGTGTTGGCTCAAAGTCATGTTCTTATTGCTCTGAGAAAGCCATGATAAGGGATCTCCCAAGGAAACATGAATGCTTTGGGCCAGAAGAATTGTAATAGATGGAGATTTTATCTTTGTTACAATATTGAGTTGATCGGATACTCAAGATATATACTCCATATTTACTCATCTACCTAAAGAAGGAGAGCTATCTCAAATATTAATCTTTGATAATAATTTTAGCTGTTCACATATAAACAGGGGAGGAATATAGACTGTTCCAGATATTTTGTTCCAGATATCCAAAATGTGGTATTTCTTCAAAAAATTATAAAAATTATTAAAGAATGAAATACCTTCAATCAGATCAATATTTGATTATAACAAATACCAAGCTGTCCTGTTCCTTTTCTCTGATTGCAGATGAGAAATTCTTGATAATAAAGACTCCAGAAACCTAAGGCAAAACAACCACACTTAGGTGTATAGTCATATTAATGGTTACTTCAGAATTTCTGAAGAAAGTAAATACTTTTCAAAGAGAAACCATAAACCTCATCTCACTACTGCCTTGGAAATTCTTGTCCTAATTCTCTCTTGTGGTTTTATGTCATATTTGTGGTCTATGAGATTCCAGAAATAGTAGGTGAACTTTTCTGGTTGTCTCTATACTGTATCAATTTTCATACTTCAAGATGATTTTGACCAACTATATTTATAAAGTTCAGTCACAGTAATTTTAGAGCCCTGTAGATAGTTGATACACAAGTGTTGCTAATTTCACCTGAACTATCTTTTCTTGCATGGTGCCCCTCAAGCTTAATGGTACACACCCTGTGAGGATGTTTCTCCAGGCTGGTTTGCAGTGAAGGAACAAATCATAATTCAGTATGATAGTGTATTGGCTTAATTAAATTTATTCCCACTAGGAACTGGCTTAAGTTGTAACTATTAAGTCACCATTCAGAAGGGCAGATTAGCAAATTATAAAGTGCTTAAAATACCATGTTATATAAAAGCAATTAGGCATTAAGTACCTAACATTCTAAAACTCATGAACATGT